TCCCCATCGTCCGTGCGGACCCGGGCCCGCATTCCGACGTGGAACTTGCGGATGACGGCGATCATCTCCCCGGGGATCCCGGCCCGGGCCAGCACCTTCCACAGTAGCTCCCGGTCCACCGAGTCATATGCCTTCTGCAGATCGATGAAGCACATGTAGAGCGGGATTCTCCTCCTCCGCCCCAGCTCCTGGAGTCGGCGCACAACGAACAGCATGCATACCGTGGATCGGCCAGGCCGGAACCCGCACTGTTCCTCCGGGAGGATTTCGTTGGCTTCGCAGAATGCGCTCAGGCGGTTGGTGATGGTCTTGGCGAGTCTGTATGTGATCACATTAGACCCACTGTACATTAATCTCTTAGTTTTGGCTCTTTTCATGTGCGCAGCACCGCTGCACGGTCAAAAATGGGATATAATCCGTCCCCGATTTCAGCCGGAAAACCCGGGGATGTGAGGATTTTGTCCCCGGGCGTGAATCGATTCCATTTTTTTTCTTAAATGGATATGTGTTGCAATAGACGTATCTACACAAGAAAAAAGATCATGATTGGGGGGGGGTGTTTTCCTACATTTTTCGCTGAACAATGGAATGCACTGCATCAGCTCTATCTCATTGACACGAACGACTTTTATTTTTTATGTGAGAGAGGTAGCCTACGACGTATCCTATCGTCCGATATCTACAAATATTTCATAATCCTTTTCACGCTCGAGAATGAGCTGTTGGCGCGAGGGTTGGCTTAAGCGTTCGTTCATTGGGCGGTTTACTCTAGCGGATTACGAGGATACCACGAGACCACACCGAAGTACAACCGACAAAAAAAAAAAGAGTTCCCCAAAGCAAAACCGCCGGTTCGGCACACAAAGACGATGGTTTCGCCGCACCTCTCTCGCACCTCTTCTTCTCTCCTCGCTGCTTGAGGCGTGCTCCGTGAAAGGTTTTCGTTGCCATGGCCTTCTTCGGCCTAACCGCTCTAGGCCCGCAGAACAGCTTTCAGGTGTCCCTTCTGGACTTCAGCTATCTTGATGTTTTCACGGCTTTGGACATAGAGAAAGCATTCAACATCGTCGATCAGGAGAAGCGAGGCCACATACACTCGGACCAGGTGGGATCTATTTTCAGCAGTGCCTTACTATAGGGCGTTTTAATACCTCGCGTTTGTTTGCGTATACTGCTGCTCATGTTGGTCACTGCAACTGAGGCAACGCTTGCAGTTGGGGACTCAAGGGCGCGTCGGCTAGCGGATACTTGATACAACATTTTACACTGCACACGGTCGCCCCGGTGGTCTAGTGGGTAGCCTCGCAGCCTGCTGAGGGCCAGGTCATGGGTTCGAGTCCCGACAGAGCGAGTTTTTTCTCGCTATTTAAATCCTGGTCTCCGTTGGAAGCGATGCGCTGCAAAGCTCGTTGTTAGTAAACTTGATCGACTTCTTAAGTCGCAAGGGAAGGGATTGCTGTACCCTTCTCGCGATAAAAATTTCTCAGGCAGGAACCGCAGGAGGGGGTCCAACCCCTCCCTCCTACATGTATGTGACCCGNATGCGCTGCAAAGCTCGTTGTTAGTAAACTTGATCGACTTCTTAAGTCGCAAGGGAAGGGATTGCTGTACCCTTCTCGCGATAAAAATTTCTCAGGCAGGAACCGCAGGAGGGGGTCCAACCCCTCCCTCCTACATGTATGTGACCCGGGTTGGGTCGTCTAGCTGGTAGAAGAGGAGGATAGGGGCCAGAGGGGCAGACGACAGAGTCCAATGATGGGAGAAAAAAAAAAGAAAGCTAGCTGCTGTTCGGCTGGCATGGACGGGCACGGCAACACCGCGGTATTTCCTGTCATGTAGTCTACTGCTGCACAAGTTATATCCGCCATGGCTAGCTTGCAATGCACAGGCAGCAGTGTATTGGGGTTTTGAGACCAACCCGGTGCCCTATGCCGCATAATAGATTGAGTCGTCCTTCTTGAACACCCTCACATGGGCCGATCATTCAGCACATATATGCAATTTACATTATTTCAGCGAAAACGTGTTTAGACTAGACTTTGCACCGGGTAAGAATTCGGTGAACAGATTTTTCGATGTAAGCAGATGGAAGACACAACCGTGTTTGCATACCGCTGAAGAAGTAGGAAATATTTTAAATGTACCGGGACAAGGTTTTGGAGGTTAATTACGCGGGCGAAACCCAATATTGTATCATAATAATACAAACATCTGTGAGACCCATCTAAGCACCTCTCTGACTAAATGAAGGAAAGGAGACACCACAGAAGGGGTGCCTTCACCGCGGCAGCAAAGGAAAAAATTGCCATGCAGATATGCTGCCATGCGGGTGGTTCAACATTCAGATAGCGCCCGCACTTCAGAACTTAGCAGTTGAGAAATTGAGACTCGAAAAAATCAGAAGTTACGAACTTGAGCACCATTTGTGAGCCCGGTTAAGAACCCCTACACTATAACCTATATAGTGGCGATTTGTAGCCCACAAGAGGATGATCAGCAATATGAGAACCCCAGCCTCGGCCGAAACTAGAGCTTCTTACGTGCGGGCGCCATCTGTACCAACGAGATGGTTGACGATGGTTGCTTTGGGGCGTTCGTTCATTCCAAAGAACCCCAGATGGAACCACGAGAGCCAAGAAGAAAGAAGATAATAAACAGGTGCAGAGATGCCAAAGCATCATCATAACCTCGTTACTTGAAGTGGTCTGTCAAGAGAATTGGTGCACAGACGATATAGAAAATGAACTGTTCCCTGGGTCTGGGTACTACAGCTGTAGCTGGACCTAAATATGCGCGTGTGTTGGTGAAATCAAGGGTTGCCAAACCGTTATCGAGTTTGCCTGATTTCGGAGGACACCTATGAAGCACTCAACAGTCATTCGAGACACTTGAGACTACATGGTCGGGAAGCGTTTCGTCACAATTTTCTGTGTACCGCAGTGGAGTCCCGTTTAACTCGAGCTTGAATTGTTGGTAGATATCACTGCCCAGGCCGATTAGAACATCACGGAGTGTCTCGCATACGTTATGGGTCTCGCGATTCCCTTTTTGGATAAGTCTTGCTGAGCTCCCCGATGCGGTCACAAGCTGGCATACCGTCACGTCAGGGTCCCGCCGTCGTGACGATTTCGACGCCTCAGGTTGAAGCGTTCCTGACCGAGTTGTACCACGGGAAGCCGAAAGCTTGCGATCTGGCTAGATTTATGGAAAAGAAGAGTTCGTTTGAGGGGCAGGAGAACCGCGTGACGTTGGACGATATTCAATCTACGATGACCCAGCTCAGGAAGGAGGTGACCCTCTGCATTTTGCTGCTCTGAGCTCATATGTTCCGTTCCGTCATCCTTGTGCTGGTTTGTAACATGTGCACTGCGTTGAAGTGCATCGTGTTGTTCAACGTCAATCCTCGCTGCCTGTTGTCAGAAAAACGCCACTGCTCACATTGACATCATCTTGCGTCGACCCGTAAGACCAGGCCAAGTACGTAACGATGGGGGTTTTGCCCAAAGCTTGAGCTTGAAATCGCCTTCCACAAGCAAGCCACGGCACCGTTCCGACTACTCTCCAAATTCACATCCCGCTTCTCGTACCCCAGCCAATTGACGAGGGGCTTTGTTGTTTCAGATGCTAGGCAACTAAATATCTACATTAACATTGTGTCGTTGTACAAACACCCGACCCCCCCATTCCAGCGTAAGGTTCACGAAGTATCCGCCAGATGACACATCGTGGGAACTTTTTCCCTCCTCGCTAGTCTCGTTCCCCCCCAAAACAAACAGGTTAGGGTTTGGATTCGTCGAAACACATGCATATTCTCTACATGGCGTGGTTCAGCGGTTGCAATCCTTGGCATCTCCTTCTTGCCAATTCGTGTGCAATCGTGTTTGCTCGGAGCAGGTGGAGGAAGAAACAAATCAGGCCAAGTGGCACAAGGGCTCGGGCTCAGACCTTAGTTCAAACCAAAACTTCCGGGAAAAAGTACGTGCTATTGACAACTGTTGTCCAGAAACACGGTGCTCAAGCCACCGCAAATGCTGTTGGGCGAACGAAACGATCGGAACAGCGCAGTTGAGATGAGGATGACCGTGTGGCCCCTGCTGCTATGATAGACTAATGGATATACAAGTGTATGAAGCTCACTGTTTGGACCGATTCCGCTTTGGAAGCCTTCAGGGTATATGCTCTGTTCACCAGCATCACATACAAGGTAAACGTTTATGCTGCCTTCGAAGGCTTACTCTACCACTCCATTCTTCTGTTGTGCGGAAATTGGACATGCCATTGACCTCATGCACCGGACCACGGACTGTTTGCGCTGGAAAGGTGCGGCGACACGAGTACATCGCGAGGGGCCCGCGTGAGCGCTACGCTAGGACGGTGACCGCTGTCCAAGAACATGGGTGGCAGGACCAACTCGATATCAACAAACAAGTACGCACTGCGGGGTCTGTACAACGTGTCACCATTGCCGCCAATTTTGCCCATTTTAAACCTCTTAATCTTGATGGAAGAACTGCCGATATTCTGGTTGAAGGTACGGTTTTAAATAAAGTGCCTTGTTCTTGGAAAAAATATTTTACCTTAAACAAAATTCAAATAGAAAGTGAATTTTTCGTCAAAATAAGGATTGAAAAAAAGTTTTTGCTGGTGAAAGTTAAATGGAACTAAGTATCTTTGAGGAAAAGCGCAAGGAGACCTTACTATTTTGCAATCTTCAAGTAATATTAAATCAAAAATGGTCTTTAAAATAAAATAAAATTTGGATTCATCCGCTGCTTAAAAAGTCATTTCAAGAATAATAACCATTATTATTTATCCAAACACTTCCAATTAAAAGAGGGTCAGCAATCAAAGAACCAATCAGATAGAAAAGGAAATTCTACGTACATTGCAGTAGTGATAATGCTTGGGATGATATTCGCTAATGCGTGGTTGAGTCTTCTATTCAGACATGAGCAGGCAAAGCCATTGCTGTACCCGGCGACCAACAAATACTGTAGGAGCTAATATTCAAGCCGAAAATCAACACAACCGCTGGCGGCGAGCTACACAGCTACAGAAAAAATTCCGTACGCCAACGTGGTATCAAACCTTAGGCTGGCAGACCGTTGGCTCGTTCTAAGAATTTTCATCGCAAAGTATGGCACATCGTTGTCGGCCACGCTTTCACTTCCCGAGCTCCAAACAAGATGCAGCACCGCACAGTAGAATCCAACGGCATGCGCCTGTCCCAAAATGGAGCTGGATGTCAGCATCAACTTCTCGAGAATAGGCCGATAGAATTGTATCCAAGCCTTCACGTACCTCGTCCTTGGATTTCCCGCTTCTGTGATGCCACACTGTTGCCGCTGCTGCTGTTTTACCAGATGGTGCACGGAAAGAAGAGCTGTGCCGAGACAGTGTATGCATCCGAGCTGGTCAAGAGTGGGGTATACTTCTGAGCAAACTTCCTTGGGATAATCTATACGTTTGAAACTACACCATCGGAGCGTGAGCTCTTGCCTCCGGTTAACGTTTCGTCCGAACGAGGACGGGGTTTCCTCTTGGCGAGGCGTCTCTTCGTGAAACGGAAATGGTGTGCTTTGGCGGAAAACACCACGCCCTACTTGTGAAAAGATGGTGTGCCTGGCTGGTCCACCTTGACATATCGTTCCAGTAGGATCGCGTGCTCTGCCTGCTTCCCTCCAACAGCGTGTTGAACATGTGCAATCGTAGTAGTAGGAACGCGTTTGTCTTGGTGTATCATGGGATTCGTGTGAAGTGAGAATAATATGTCGAGGCCCAGTGACAACAGACAAACACGAACCCATTCGCAATGGATGCCCCACCTAACGCTTCAGGCAGAGGTTGCGTCGGAGCGTTTTCTCATGAGGCAACTTTTTCCTTGCTTTCTCCAAGAGCGTAAGCTTCGGTGTTGGTTCGGCCTGCCCAACACCCTAACAACTTACTACGCTATGTGGTTCTGGAGAGAGCCTGATATACTTTTAGTAATTTGCTTGGCTTGTGCACGAAAATACGGTATTGTCGCCTTCGAGACGTTATTAGTCCAAACACCGCCAAACAACCTTGATGTGACGTATTTTCTTCGGCGACGTGTCGACGAAGCTATCGAACGTAGACGGTGCCTCTGTACACTCCTGATACGAAGACTGGTCCCTGACCCACAGCATGCCCTTGTTTAATGGGGATCACCCTCCGCAGGAATTGACGGTTCGGAACCCAAGCACAGGTGACAACGTATATGGGGGCTTCTTCAATCAATCAAACTTCACTGTTCCCCAACTAAAAGTACCCCTGGGACGTGCGGACACCATCAAATTATCTCTACTGCAACGCCGAGTCCAGCTGCTCGTCGTCTCCCCCCCCTCTTCTTGGGTCGGCTCTTACTGCACAACCCTCGATGCAAACGACCAAATCTACCCTTTACCTCATAGAATTTTTTTTCTCACCACAGTTGGTGTCAAACCATGCCCTCCATTTTTTCGTACATTGGAAACCCTTGCCATGAGTCGGCGTCCCGCTAAGAAATCGGTCCAGGGCGGGGCCAAGAAAATTACAACGAGAGAGAAGCTGCCGGTAGGGCCGACCCCCCCAATCAAACAACGTAGAAATGCACAGCAGGACCATTGAAACCAGACAAGCTCAACACCAGACAAGCTCGGAATCGACAAGCTCGTGAGAGTTCCCCTCCCCACCCTTTCTCTGTTAGTACTTGAGACTGGTGAAGGCCGCGACTCCTGCTTTGACCCATGTCTCCTGGTCAGAGCTTCCGGCGTTGTTAATGAAGTCCGCGCGGTTGGAGGGCAAGTCTATCCACATGACGAAGTTCGTCGAGTGTCCGGTGGTCGAAAGGGTCCCTCGTCTCGACAACACCTTTTTGCGATTAGCAGTGGGGGGACGAAGAGCTGTGAAACCGAAAGCAATCTTAGGTGAGGACCATGCCATGGGGTAATGCTGGTTTTCAAGTGCTGTCGTCTGCTAGCAGTGATCAAGCAGCCAACTGTTGGTTTTCCTGTAGACTACATGACCTCTCTGGTAATTGTAGGTGCTTGGCTCGCAAGACGGTTTTCCGTGAAATGTACCCAAGGCTGACGCACGCTGCCGGCTGTCTGTCTTTTGATGTGTACAAATCACACGCAATTATCGATCAATACGCGCAGGGATATTTCGTGCAAGAGTCTGTGCTTTATTGGAACAAAATTTGGTTTGTGACGCAAGAACCAGGATGTGGAACAACCGAGGAGCCTCATTGCCCCAGAAGCGTCCTCTCCACACCCTCCAGTCTCATATCCGCCAACCACTATTGCCCATACCTTGTATACCGGGCACCGGTACACCCCCTTGTCTGGGTTTCGTCGATGCTGCTCTGGGTCGAGGTGGAGCACGGGGAGCGGGGTGTAGAGCTGCTTCGGTCGGGAGTCGTTGAGAGAACCCACTTCTGAGTCCCACCTTGCTCCCTCCAGGAACAGACCTCGGATGTACGCACCATCCTAAATTTAGTCGTTTTCGACAAACCGATTGACAGAGGGCTTTAGTTCCAATCTCTTGTACATAATCCAGAGTACATTACGTTCAATGAGAGAACAGGCGGCTTCATGCTGACCTCCTGATGTCGGGAAAACTAAACAAGTTAAGAACAGCTACTCTCGCGTCGGCGAAGAATGCAAACAAATAGAAACCACCTTTCGGCACCAACTTTGAGCATAGACATGTGTGCACCTGTGGTCTCTCGGTGAGCTCTTCCCACGGGGTCTCCACGATGAGGAAGTTAAACTGCACGGTGTCAATGGCGAACTTCATCCGCCGGGCGAAGTTCTGCAGCGTTCCCGTCAAAAACGCCTTTTTTGGACCGAAGGACACGGCAAAACACAGGTAAAAAAAACTTAGGCAGATGTTGAATTCAATTTCGATGAAGGGAAGAAACGGCTGAATCCGTCCCGTGACAAACAAAATATGGCCAGTACCGCACACGGGAGGTGGAGGGAAAAATAACAAGGAAATGTTTACCTCACGAGACCCAGGTTGGTGTGCCCAAAACACAAGCCGACGTAAAAAACGTAACATCCAGAAAAGATGGGGGACCACAAACACAACCAAGTGAGGGGTAATACTACTCCTGGTTCGCGGGGGGAGTACAACGACAGATGACCTGAATCCCTGCGCCGTAAAACGATCATTGCTGCTCGAGGAGAAGGCACAACAGGTGCTGTATCGTATCACTTGCTGTTGTCTAGATATAAGATCATTGTCAAGCACAGACACGCCATACAGGACAGGCCACCCCCAGGTCACATGCACCAAACGGTAGGGTTCACGTGTCGATCGCGTTTCTCTTTACGGGTTGGGCGAGCAGATGCCGTGCGACGTTGCCTCGGCAAATGCCACCTATTCAATACACCAGCGCTTTCTACCCCATGGTGCTCCAAGTCTGGAAGTGAGATGACACGGTAGGATATCGAACTATAATCACGGTGTATCTCAGCAGTTTCTACCATCCCAACGGTTTTTGGAAACTGTTCTGATCTAGACGTACCGCCTGCCTGAACGAGGTCTTTGGTTGTCACGCAATTAGTTGGAAATTCACAGTTGCTGTGTGTACCTGGGGGAAATAAAAGCCGGAGATCCAGAAAACGGCAGGGATGCCCTTGTCGATCCAGTCGCGGATGAAGTCTATTCGGCACATGACGTCCGTTACCCAAGCAGAAAGCGGCTTCATTGAAGGGTAAGCCTGGGAATATCATAATGGGGAAGGTTATCTACAGGGTCACAACGCGTGCGTTCTGGAGGGGCGAAAACTTCGGAGGTAAAAAGCTGCTTTAAATCCTATCAACTTGGGAGCAACGTCGGGCGTGGCGGGTTCCACCACGGGTTCGGCCGGTTGGCAAAAGCAACGGGAAAATTCGGGTTGTTTTACCTACGCGGCGTGCTACACTTGTCCTCATAGTCTTCACGATTCAGGTGTTGCTCAGTATCTGTGAGATGTTGTCTCGCCTTCGCTTCCCAGCTTTCTGGCACAGCGTTGAGAGCGATCGCCTTCCCGACGGCCTCCAACTCCCCAGACATTACCACCATTCCTTTTAAGGCCTTCTGAAGCTCAGGAAGGGACTGTTCCATGACGTCGATAAGCTTGTTATATCGGATGCATTCTTGTACCAGTACCTGGAGCAGAAAGAGGAAGGACATTGGTCGAAACAGCCAAGTTTTGGAGGGGTCGCCAAGCCACTTTTACTGGACCGTAAAAAGGACTAAAAACGCGATGTTTACCGTCCACATGCTGACAGCCTCATTGATCAATTCTCAATACTCCCACGTTCGCTCTCACCCTTGTCCGAACCGGGTCGGCCTGTATTCATGCAGTTGGTTGTGTCCACACGATTCACACGGAGTTCGCTACATATCCCATAAGGTACCGTATTCTCACCGTATTCATGCTCTCCTCGTAGACGACAGGATATTGCATAGTGATGGCCTCGATGTCGAACTGGCCCCCCTTCTCGGTGAGTTGGTCCTCGATAGACTTCGCCTCCGCCCAAAGCGCAGCCTCTCCTCCGGCTCCTCCACCTCCACCTCCACCGGACTGTCAGCATCAAAACATCGAAAGTGGAAGAACATCGAAGCGAAAAGGTCAATGGTAGGGGGGGGAGGGGGGTCCCGTCATGATATTATTCAAAGCACGACAAAATATGATGTCTGAGATAAGCAAGCGGGAGCTGCCCCCGAGAGGGAGCGTCAATATCCATAGGATCGGTTGTTCTACACGCCCAAGTACACCAAACATCGCTAAAACGCCTTGAGACTTCGTTTTCGTGTACGGTTTATGCCTAGAGTACTTCCATACCAACTCAGGACGCCCACTTGCGAATCTTCGTAGAACGAGGAGCTTATGCGTGCAAGCTAGGAAATCACATGGGTCGCCTTCGAAGGAAGAACGACGCGGCAGAGTGAAGCCAGCGTTCACATATGACACAAGCGTCGTTCCGAAGAGTCAGACGCATTCTACACACCGTCACCACCACGGACGTGCACATGGCATAAACGTTCTTCTCTAGTGAAACTTGAATGGTGTACAAAACCATGAGACTTCGAGTACCTTGCTCTACGGGGTATTGTATCCCTGTACTTGTATTGGTGTCCGACGGAAAGAAAAATGCGTCGACTGCTCAGTCAATGTTGTGTGCGTGTTGTGCTGTTCAGTGAGGCTTGCTTCTCACCTCCATCAAGAGGACCGTGTCAAATATCACGAACGTTTCCGCTAAGGCGCAGGCAATATTTGCGTTCTCGTGTAGGCCGAACACCCCAGGCCCCGCCGTCATGGGCATTGCCTCGATGTTCTCCATATAGCTGCGGTGTGGATCGTCTGGGTTGTAGTTGATGCTCGGATAGATGCCGTCCTCGTCGAAGGAATAATCCGAATCAAGAACCTGGTAAACGGGTGCGGGTGTGGATTCCGATGGCGTGGGGTGGAAGTAGAGCTATATTTCGCCGAAAAAGGTTTTAGACCTCGTGCGGTTGGCCAAAGTATTCTAGGAAGAATGGCTCTTTCTGGGAGAGAAGGTCTCTGATTGAGCTATCTAAGCCTGGTGTGAGATATGGACGGGGTGCAGTCTTTATCAACAATTGAGACAGTAGTCCGGAGGAAGTAGCTTGTTCAGGTCCACCCTGCACTCGTTCTCGTGATAGGCATAAGCAGAACGTCAAAAAACCTCACTCCTACAACTGATGCTCAATTAAGAATCTTGCAGTAAAACAAATGTGTCCATCGTGAATAATATCACAGAGAGAAAAAGAAACGAGCCTCAGACAGAACAAGAGGTTGTCTTGTGGTGGGGCCTTCGATAGACGGCCCTCATTGGTCCAAATTCGACCCTGGCTCTTCCTCAAAATATCTAAAATACTGTCTACCGTGGGATCACGCTTAAGCCCTCACTACTGTTTCCCCTGGAGTACTCCGCAGACTGTCTGCAGTAGGACCCCATCACGTGTAGACCATGAGTCAAGTGTCTCCCCCGAAAACGAGTTCTTAGGCTCACCCGAGGAGTGTAGAAGGTCCGCATTATAACGTCTATTGTCCTGAGGTCGATGTAGTCCGTCACCCTCCCCCCGTAGTTGATGTAGCTCGTCAGGAAGTTCAGCACCCGATACGGCACCTTGTGGTAGCATCCGGGGTCGCATTTTCATAGGAAACGAACTTAGAGAAAGGCGTTCATAAGGACTCTACAGCCATGGTACTGGCGCAAACTGCCGACGAAGCGTCAATGTTGTAGTCAGTACACTTCAGCACATCTTCACCCCCAACTCCCGTGGCGGTTGTGCTGGCACATCCTTCAAAGGAAGACGTCGTTAAACGTTTGCTTGGACTCCGGCAAAGTTTCTCTCGTGACCGGAGGAACGGGATTTACGTGTCAGCGGTGGTCGGTTGTGACGGTGACGGCAGCACCAGCTGCAGCAGGCAGCAGCAACAACAACAACAACAGCAACAGAATTGGCCATGTTCTCCGATTCCTGATCACCGTCGCACCTCCTCGTAGCTGTCGAGGAAAATCTCGAGCTGCCCCTTGCTGATATCAAGATCGGTGTCGTTAAACTCGTAAGGTACGTTCCATCCCAATGGTCCGAATTTTCGTCTCTCCTGCACGATGATTAGACCAGAGGGTGGGGTATCATAGCAGAAATAATAGAGAAAACGCCAGGCAGCAAAGTGTAGGTCAAGCCGTTGTTTGTGCAGCCAACATTGCATCGGGATACACTCGAGTGCAACATCGTGCAATTTGTTCGCTCAATCGGGCGGCAGTGAAAGCTTTGTAGGAGGCGTTCGATGGTAAGCGTTGACGCTGGGCCGGTGTGGCAATTCCCTGCAAATATAACCAGATAAACAGAAACCAGTATGCCAAAATTCACCGTTCCGGCCTGCCGTTGGCTATTGCCACATGGAGAGGGGCTATTCAGGTGTTTCTCTATCTCTTCGAAGTTTGCGACACAATCGTTATGCTGATTTGCCTTGTAATTTGCTAGCTGCTACGGTAACTATGTACAAGGCTGGAACCGACTGAAATATTCGCCGATACACCACCTATGCTGCAGCTGGGCTGGGAAGAAGCGGAGATAATCCTTACTGAAATTGGGGGTCAGGATGAGGGTTAGGATGACCGTACCGTGATACTTCATGCCAATTGTTGTTGTTGTTGTTGTTTTTGTTGTTATCTTTATTCTTCTTTTCGCCCTGTCAGTCGTGTGCGCCCAACCACACCTTTTGGTGAATGCTCGCCCGACTACACTACGGGGTCTGACCCTAAGGAACGTAAACACAGTTTTAACCTTTTCCATTTTTTTCCGTACAATGCTTGCCGTCATGTTTTAACGCGAGAAGGGTTCAGCAGTTCCTTCCCTCTTTGTTGAGTTTACTCACGATTGGCGCTCCACCTCCAGAGCGCAAGCCATTCACTCCAGACTGATTCGAACCCGTCATCCATAGGGAGTCAGAAGGTTGAGAGGTTACCAACGAACCACCGTGGTGACCGGTCAATACGCACCAAACAACTATAACGATGGAAAATTTTACCTGAACGCTTGCGTGGAAGAAGCAAAGTGCGAAGAGCAGCTTCTTGTACACGGCGGGGCTGGCAGTGACGCCTAGCTTGTTGTTGTCCAACTTGTAGTAGGCGCTCTTCAGGTTCGCCTGGCCATGGCGTTGTGATGTGGGTATGGCAAGCGGAGGGATGTTGGTATTCGACTTGGAGGTGATAATACAAATGAGACGTATTGACGGTGGTGCTATTGCGACGCAAGATGCAAGAGAGGGAATCAGTGAATGTTGTCAGGACTTCTCCAGACAAAGACGCACTCAAGAGAACCCCCTCGCAGATACTGCATTGAAAAAACGTTGCTTTCGAAAGCAATATCATAGCCGAACGGCTACGCTATCGAAAGTTTCTAGATTTCTTCTGCAGACCCATACTCCGGGAACATGCAGGGAACATGCAGCATAGTCATGCTTACTGATGTTCTGCGGCTCTCCGCTGCCGCAGCAAACATGCGAAAGCAGGCCATCAATGAACGAAGCTAACCATATTCTTCGCATTGACCAATCACCTTCAAACCCTTCGGCGGTTCATTGGTCATCTTGACCCCGTTCTGCAGGATGGACACCGGGAACTCCTTGCACGGCATGCTCGTGAGCCACAGGCGGAAGTCCTTGTGCACCGTCTCTGGACTGAGCTCCTCGCACATACGCTCCAGCTCCGCCAACCAAGATATATACAAATGGCAATTCTGGAGGTACACCTGCAGAGAGGTGAACAGCGATTGGTGATACAGTCAGGCGTTGCTTCGGCGCACGTCGTTCGAGAGCTCGGGCTTGTATTAAGGATTTGCGTCAGCCGGAGGGGAATTGGGCGTGTAGAAAAGAGGAACAGTCTACACCGGAGGCAGGGATATTCTACAAGAGATGGCTCTGGCGGTGCAGCTGACGAACGTCATCTAGAGGGTGTTGACACGTTGGCTATCATCGCGGCAAGCGAAAATCATCGCTAGCCCAAAAGAAACTGAGACGAGATGTGATGAGCAAAACTACAAGAACACAGCAGGTCAGGTTTCCATACGGCTGGTACGTCTTGTGGCATGCATAGAAGTGAGAGGCCAGGTCCTGTGACTCACCCACGTCCCCTTTTGACTAGCCTCCTCGATCAGCCTGGTGGCCTTCAAGCCCTGTCCCTGCCCCAGACTCAGGCCCTTGACCTTCTTATCAAATCGCATCTGGGCCGCAAACTGGTAAAACACCTTCGTAGGGTCTGCCGTGTCATCATTTCCACACGTCATCAGTCACGTGGTACACGTTAGTTTATTGTCGCCATCAAGGTTACGAGAAAGCAAAGAAGGAAGCGAGAGCAACAGCAACACAAGCATCTCATATGTGGCCCACAACGAAAAAACAAATATCGACCCGTCGCTAGCAATTCTTGGTACATCGAAGCACACCCCAGCATCCTCACGAACTTCCACTACCTGAACCCTCGTCGAATCCTATCGAACACGTTGGCTTCCCGCCTGTGCTTTGCAGATTCTCTTTGGCTGATGCCACTTCGAAGCTTGAAATAGCAAGTTCAAAGGCCCCAGGCTTTGGTTTTGGGAATAATTGTGGCTGTTTCATGCGTTGAGCTAGGTGAACGACACAACTTGATTGATTTCCAATTCAACGGGGTGCCGAGAGACCAGAGGCAAAGGTAACCCGGGAACCCCAAAAACTCGTAGAGCCAATTTACATCACACAATAAACGCGCTGTTACAGCAAATCACAGGTCGCCCTACCACAGTCAAACCACATCGCTAGCACCAATTCCGCACGGCCGGTCATACGTTAGCTACGTACCCGATCCCTTGGACAGCACGAAGATGAGCGGGGTGAGAACCGTGGAGTCTTGGAAGCATGACTCCAGGTCAAACGGCGGCGGTTCCACAAAATCTTTTCCGAGGCTGTTCATGACGTAGCTAAGGATAGCGTCCGGCATTTTGTCAGCCCGAACGCAGCGCAACATGCACAACCTTTGGAGGGGGTTGAGTTTTCCCTCCCACTCTCCAGGGAGAGGAAGAGTTTGAGGCTCCATGTGATCGTACATGCTCTGAGACCGCAGGTTTGGCAACAGCATAAAAAAAGCGAGAAACGAGAAAGATATGGAATGTGCGTTGGAAATATGATGTGGTTTTCTGGGTATCAATAACGGTCGTTCCAGCGATACATCTCTAAGCAGTACGATCGTGAAGTAGGTGAATGCAGTGATACAGTAGACACCTCATCCTTGAACTGGATCGAGGGAACAAAACAACAACCCTGACTAAAAACTTTACGCTGTGTCCGTGCTAGGGGTAGCAGAGACACTCCCCTTCCATCATCCACACAAGATCGGCGAGGTCCCCCAAACACGTGGCTTTGATGATACGGACGAGAGGTGCTGAGAATGCAAGCCACTGCATGACCATACCTCGGGAGTTATTTCGTAGAGAGAGACAGGCTAGACCGCCAGTGTACCTTGAAATCCTCCAGCAGGGGTCCTGCGAAGCTTGCCGCCAGACCCTCGAACGCCTGCAATCCCGCCAAAGCTTGCACTTCGCTCCACATACGAGCGTCGATCCAATCCGGGCCCGGGTTTTCCCCCGCCTGCACAGGCGTGTAGGTCTTGCCCGAAATTAGGAAAGACCACTCGTTGTCGTCGATCACGTTGTCCCCCTTTCACATGGACAGATATTCAAGTGGGAAGAGTCATAGAAATGGGTGGGAAAAGGGTTGTGTTAGCTCGGTGTGGAACATTCAGTCGGTACAAGGTGTTTTACTTGGTTGGATCGAGGAATCCGTGGCGCGAGATCATCATACGACCTTTTTTTCGGTAGCACTCCCTGGGTGCCTGTATCTGTAGAGAAAAACGGACGAGGCGAACGGCTTGAAATGCCGATGATAGTACATTATATGAGGGTTCTCGTTTCAAACCACCCCACAGCACCAGGCTTACTTCCAAATCTACAAGTGACCGACCGCCAGCGGTGCCACCCAATAGCCTAAAATTTCAACGTAATCGCCCACAACTGCAACTCTGCTCAGACAGGTGTAATTGCGCATGTGGTGAGGCTACTGACGACATCTGATCCTGCAAAACAAGAACACACGAACCTGAAGAACCCTGACCGTGATGAGGAAGGAAAACAGCAACTTATCCTTCTCGAATAGGCTCCTGCACACGTTGGTGTAGACGTAGTAGGTGAAGAAGTTGTTGAGCTCCTCTAATCGCTCCTCCAAGACGTCGCTCTTTTCGCTCAGACGAATCCCCTGGTCGTGTCGTGGGAGAGAAACGGACGAACGTCACGCTTTGAAGCGGCAGGTTCTAGCTCTCGCATATGCCTCGTAATGTATTTTTCCCATTAATACAAGACTGGGGTGAGATCGAGGTGAGTCGTGCGTCGTACCTAGGGATCAGCACGGAACAAACCCGAAGCTACCGGTAGGAGGCCAGGAAGGGGCTGACTCTCCGCGAAAACAACAGTATCAGACGCACGGCCTCCTCACCTGCACGAAGAGGTTGGTGAACCACTGCAAGGAGTACTGGTACATGGGGTCGACAACGTTGAAGTCTCTCACGCAGAAGTACATTATAGCGCCTCGGTATGCGACCGGTCGGTATCCCTCGCGATTCAAATCGATCTCCTTCTCTGTCACCTCCGCTTCCGCTACCTGTTTTGGTCAAAAAGCCGAGGAGGTAAGTAGAGTGTCAGAAACATTCTACAATTACGGGGCGACACGTGCTTCAGTATCGCATTCGTTTGGTACATTTTCTTTCTCCGCAATAGTTTGCTATTAGAGTACCTTGAGCGATATTAACGAGAACCTTCTTAGAAAGATGTCGGAGAATACATACGACGAAAGAAACTCAATACCACAAAATCCAGAAATAACTCCTAATAGAGCATTATCAGCAGCGGCAACAACATCTCATCAACAGCAACAGCAACAGCAACAGCAACGGCAACGGTCACGGTAACTGATACCTTGAGCGTGATTTCTGTAGAAGTTTTCTTTGAAGAGGCGAGCGTTTCGATCAGCTCGTGATCGTCCAGGATGTTCCCCTTGGAATTGCTCAACAAAAACAGGATGCGGTTCTCGATTTCCTGTAGCTCTTTCTTCATTTTTGCGTTCGCAACCACTGCAATTTCACGGAACGAGGCAGACGGTTGTATGAAATATCAGCTACATAGTACGTAGACCCCATGAAATATCGCTTGGTTCACACCACGACTTACGGTTCTTGTTCGTTACGTTCTGGGTCACTGTCGCCATGCACCAATTGTGCAAGTCTGTAGGGAAGATATCAACCAGCGTAGACAAGTACCGATTGAAGCTCTTCTTTGCGACTCAAGGTGGCCGGGCAGTGACTACAGAAAGGCACTAGCCCACCAGGGAGTACACACCTAAGGTGTTCTTTTTCTCCTGCATCTCCGGCATCTCCTCGACGACCACCACTCCAAGTAGCTGATCCTCGAGGCCAGTGAAGGTGATGGCGAAGTTGAGCAGGCTGACCTTCACAGACACCTCTGGGGGGTAGTGAGGGTTGCTGAGCTTGGTGGTCATGAAGAATCGGAACTGGTCGTTCCACGGGATGGTGGAGTCGCCCACCTGACATTCCCCAGCAACGCCACACCAAGGCAGCATGCGAACGCGTTAGATGTCAGGGTGTGGTCAGAGCGCCAGAATTGTCGTAGTGACGGAACATCATCAAGCATGGGAAAAACCAAGCAAGGCAGAACGCACTCTCATCCGGACGGGTAGTTCGTGAACACATGTATGTTTATTCATTGCCCTTCACGTGCGTATCAACCGTGAGTCAAACACTCACGAGACGGGGCGAGTTGTTGCATGGCAACAGTTCACTTCGTTCCAACAATGACCAAGACCGATGACAACATCGCAGACATTTTTTGCTCCCAAGAAACACATAACCCATGCTGAAGGTTGCCAGAATATCGACGTCCAATATCTAACCTTGATCATTTCGGTGCCCCCTTGCTTGAACTTCTGTTGGAGCAGCAGCGGCTCGAGTGCCGCGTCCAGGGCTTCCTGAAGATTGGTGCGGGGGTATTCCGAGAAGCATACATTCATCACCAAACGACCGACTGAGGGTACAGTGTGCTACCCTCTTTTCCACCTTCCTGATCTATCCAATTTCCGTGATGGAAGCATGCGGTTGGCGTTTTTAGTAACCCGGTTGGCGCCCGGATCACGGCGTGGTGGGAAACGGCGAAGCAGTAGGATCATGGTACTTGTGGGTTTGTTCGTTGGTGAACTTCACGGTGTTTGGCATGGTCTGTTCTGCTGTCGCTGTGAACGAGCGTGTTTAGAAGTCTCTCGAACTCTTCATCGACGAATTACCGTAAGGTTGCGGGTCAGCGCACGGTCCGAAGTTTCCGCACAGTCCGGAGTCATCGCACAGGGGTGCGATGAAAATTGAATGGCATAATTATGTTTTTCGATTTCCGCACAGGTTCCGGAGTTACCGCACAGGGGTGCGATGACTCGCAACCTACAGTAGTGTAGTAGTTGAATGCCAGCGATTTCGGGGCAACTTTCACCCCTGCAACCATGCCAGTGCTGGCATGGAGCTCTGCTCTATGGGTAGGTAGGTCATCGTCGCATACCACACGTTGAGGTTTAAAGGAAATGAAACACGTTGGTATTTCCATTGGATCGGTAAACGTAAACATTGTCCATTCAACCAAAACACGAGAAAAAAAACAGCAGCCATCAGCCAAACCAACGAACAGCAGTAAGTGCCATGGACCAGCACCATGGAACAGCAGCACTAGTGTACCCATGTTCTACTTCACTCGCTACGAAACAAATTTCAACCCCTCCACTACCTGAAACTGTAACAGCGCCAACCTCCGTACTGCTGGGATGCACACAAAAGTATGTTCGGGCAGCCAACCTGCAGCTACTGGTGTGTGTGTGTGCTTTCTGGAACCCCTAGCTGTGGTTGGCTGAAGTGCGCGTGTATGTGTACGTTGCGTGTGGAGCCTGCAACCGCAGCACAACTGAGGTGTCCGTGCGTTTGCAAAGTTGTTTCTTTCAAGTACCGCACGTACCGGAAATACCGCACAGGGGTGTGCATTCAAAGTTCTTGATAATATCGCCTCCAGGGTTTACTCAGGACCGCACATACTGGAGTCATCGCACAGGGGTGTGCGTCATGTATCGAAACCAAATGATTAACATTCAATTTCCGCACAGGGTATGGAGTCATCGCATGGTCCGGAGTCATCGCACAGGGGTGCGATGAAAATGAAATGGTGAAAATTTTAAACGACCGCACGGCGGTGCGCTGACCCGCAATCTTACGGTACCCATGCTGACGTAGCGTCTAATGTTTGTCTTACCTGAACGTTTTCCAGGAGAACCCAGCGCCCAAATCGAATGCCGTTTTCGAGGGTCCTCAAGAAATTCTTGTCGCTGAGCTTAATTACATCGATACCATTCAAGGAGAAGCTCGGATCCTTTCCCATGTTCTTGATGTAGCGGTTGGCTTGACCCTGAAGACAAACGAAGTCAACAAAACTCGTAAGGTAAGACATTTGTGTGCGGCATATGTTATGTTCGAATGTCTGTCCCTTTGCTGGGACTGGCTATTTTGGACAGGATGATGTGTTTACCGATTGGCTTGGAAGTGAACATACGACGACCGGGTTTTGTCTCATGAGGTTCGAGCTGATAATGTACGACAAGGGGAGAGTGAGAGAGGACAGTCATTGTTACCTACAGCAGTCCACGAGCGACCTCAGTTGTTGGTGGAAGAGCTGACCGAACCGCGCAAGACCCGATATATCTACTACGTCAACTGAGCAGTGCTACCAACGCTCTTCGAGGGAATCCTGGGGAAAATTCTCCATAGATTTTTGGGCCTTTCATCGAAGGAAAGCCTGAATCACTTTGTCGTCCGCATCCGCAATAGACGACACCTGATGTACCCTACCCTCGTCTCTCAATCTCCGTATCAACCAAACATACGATACTTGTCTGTCTTGTCACACGATATCATAAAAATAAGTGCGAAATATTGAAGCAACAGCCATACCTGCGGGTCGATCAGCAAAGGATACCGCCTTGCAAGGCTCATGAAGATACCGTTTTCGATTGAATGCCCGTCGCTGGGAAGTCCCACAATTGTCCATCCTCGGATCTGAGAATTCGCATCATGGGGGGGAAGATGGAGCGGATAAGGTCGAGAGGCTGTGCGGCAAAGGAGGCTTCAAATACGTGCTAGTATAGAGTGCGATTTACGGTGCTGTTATAAGTTGGTCAGGTTATAAGAACGGCCAGCGAAAGGGCCAGCGAAAGGCCAGCGACAACAGACACACTGCCTACATAGTTTCAAGACGTTTGGCCGGGTTCATCTCGAAACCAATAAACACTCACGATTAAGCAGTTCGGGCGCAAAGTGGGAAGGTTCGACATGCAACCGACTTTGAGAGGGTATACATGATGGGTGAGCGCGATGCAAAACTCTCCTTCAAAGTACAAGCGGATGTGCAGCTTGCATAAATTAGCCGCATCGCCGCGCACAACACCCACGATGCCACACTGGTGCCCGCACACTTGTAACCGCACTGAGAATTTCCGGTTTTGCACGTGGATCCACAAAACCAACGTACCTGCACGGGGTCAGCAAGAGTGAGGCGAACGTCGCAGCCATCGCTGTGCGGGATGTCAAGCTCTACCAGCTTCTCCTGCCAGCCCTTGACGAGCTTTTGCCGGAAGTCGGGGGTAAATGGACCCGAGTAGGCGATCATGCCGGCCGATACTAACACGTCCCCGACCAGGTTCTCGTAGTCCTTCGTCAGCTGGGCCACGCTCACCTGTTGTTTTTGCGGTACCGCGTTAAATGTGAGGAAGTATTTGATCGTGCTGACGGCATTGACATTAAGTTGTCAGTCGATCACATTCTAGCTATCGTGATGTTACCTTCAACATTTCCTGGAACCAAGCTCCCGTGGTGAGGGCGCTCCACACGTGAGCTATCAGTCGTTCGAGTACAACCCGATAAAATGAAAACATATCCCATATCGCTGGGTTCAACTTGTACCAGTAGTACATAGCACGCAGCTGATTCGCTCGACTTACGGTCCATCGGTCCTTCTCTCCACCGAGCCCTCCGATGAGCTTCTGTGCGCGGTCAAGCCTTGCCCTGCACTCCTCCACATCGGCCACCAGTTTTTCCTGAAACCAGTGAAAGCGCAAGGAAGCATCACCGTCGCACGTCACGAGACTTATTGCATAGGCGTCGAGACCCGAACTGTTTCGGGAAAATGGAGCGTTGCGAATGATTTTGCACGTCGTCCGTAAAGTCGGCATGGTTTCATGTGAAATCGAGCTGATGAAACAAGGTGAAAGAGCGCGGGCTCATGGGCAAGCGAAAGACGAGCAGCCAGGATGAAAACAAACGTGCCCTCGGCCCTAAACTATTGAAGTGCGTTCGAACTTGTACGTCGGCACACGCTGACAAAAGCGTGAAGGCTAGACTAAGTTGCCAACAACGATTCCACATCGAGTATGTCCTGAGATGCACGATTGAGCTTCCGGATGAATGTCATCTTCCGTCCGTTCCTTCGCGTTGGCGTTCGACACCGCCTCATCTGGCTTATTTCTCTTTCATGCGCTACATAACCTAACCCCGAACCTGGACCAACACTCTAAGATTACCTTCTTGGTGTTGGCCTCGTCAAATTGGGCCTCCAGTGCGGCCACTTTGGCCAAGGTTTCCTTCAAAACAGATTGCGCCTGGGCCAGCTCCGCCATGGTCACGTCCAGTTCGATCTGGGTGAAACGAAGTTGGTAGGGGGAGGGGCAAGGGTTGACCACGTGGTGAATATCACTTCTATACTACACAAGCAAGCTCGTATTATATCTCGTATATCTTTGTTTTCCCCGTAGCCGTAAGCACATGGGGTTGTTCGGTGCGTAGGTCCTTGCACCTGCTATGACCACAGATTTATGTTGAAGATATGTGGACATTGAACAGCGCGCGACGTGTTTGCTGAAACGTTGCATATGGTGATTGGATGCGAGCCTTGGTTGGGGACAAACGTTACTTGGAGTATCTAGAGACAGGGTTAAAGCAGAAGTACGGGTTACGCATTCCTCTGCGCTGTGAACTAAGGAGCTCTTCTACGTTTTATCATTTTTTTCATCGCGCCCGTTCTACTCTGTCGTGAACAGCAATTCTAGAAATAACTCAGGGAATCGCGACATGCACTGCTGTAGTTGTTTCTTCACACGCACCTGCTTCTCTGCCAGGAGCTTCCTCTTGGGCTCGACTTGCTTGGCTACCATGTTGTACTTGTGCATGGCCCGCACCCACAGACAGATGGCCGTGCAGGCCTTAGAGGCCTTCTCGATTTGCTTCGCCTCGAAATCCGGGTTGACCACGAACGGATCGATTGCCTGACCATGTCACCGCCCCAATAAGCATCATTGATTGACGGATATAACAAAATAAGATAGTAGAGGCCGTGAGGGTAGGCAGCGTCGAAGAGGGGACGTCAGAGGGGCCCGTGCACACTGTAGACATCTAGCGTGTCCCCCGTCGAGATCGGCCGAATTGGGTTGGAACAACACCAATCGATGCTGCTGGTCTGGAGAATGCATTTGATGGATGGGTTTGATGCAGTCGTTGGCAATGGTAGATCATGTCTTTGCTTCATGTTGCTCACCGCGATAACCTTGTCGGGAATGTTGTCTTTGTCGAACTCCTGCATGTCTTGCAGTAGCTTATTGGCGTTGGACAGGAGGGTCTTTTTCGCAGCACCGAACCAGTCGTTGATCTGAGGCGGCCAGCAAAAAAATCGGAAGAGTATCAGACATGCTGGTTCATGAACATGGAGACTGACACAACCCCCGTGGCTACTACCTAAAGCACAGTTATGGTTGACTGCTGGCTGAGTGTTTGGACGTTTGATGTCCGGCCTTGTCTTCGTGCTAACGTTCCACACTGCTTTTGGCAATGATCCTATACTACATGCGGTTCGCTTCTTGTTTTTCCTGGTGTGTAGGTCTGGAAAAAATGGAGTACGATCAACGGGCCAAGACACGGTGACACTGTGCATGCTTTGTAGAGTCATCGAAGAGATATAGAGAAGCAAGTCCGCCCCTAACAACTGTGGTATCTACCATTTACAGGCACTTTGGTTCTTCCCGTGGTGGTGAAGTTGTCATGCCATGCGATGCCCTCCCGAAAGAAACAAGCGGCCCTCTACTCGCCTTTTTCCCAGGGTTGTCGGGGTCGTTGATCTTGTCAGGCTTGATGCCGAACATGATGCAGGTCGCCTCCATCGTCAGCTTCACACCGTACGGAGGCTTTCCGAGGCTCTTAACCTATACTTGCACGAATCATTGTCCAGTTGGTTCCATGTTCTCACCAAACATGCAGCAGATTCTGACTGCATGTCACGCCTTCCTCTACGAAAGGAGCTACGCCCAGTTCCCGATTATTATTGTGCAAGTGTGGCTACCGGGGATTCGGGCACATGCCGTCTCTCAGCACTCTCCGTTGTACAACACAAGCCCTAGGGTAAGAGAGATATAGGTAACTTGGACATAGTTTGATAGTATAATAACACGCCAGGATCGCAGAACACCCGAAGGCGTCAGATGTCTTTCAGCTTGCATAACAGGGTGGAATTGCCAGGGGGCTGAGAATCGCGACTCGCCTCGTCGATGTCGTTCTTTTTGAGGTCCTTGAGGCAAGCCACGGCCACATCGAGAGCCGGCAATGCCTCGTCAAGATCTCTCTGAGCGTCGTCGGCGATAGCCTTTGTCGCCGCCGCCTTCTCCTGGGCGACGGCCTCTTGACCCTCAACCTGTGATTGTGGTTTTGTGGAAGTTGCCGTTATCACGTTGAGCCTGATTTTGGTTCAGGATAGATATCGAGCTCGGTTGTTGGTGTGGCTACAGTTGCAGAAGTTGGTTCGAGTGTGGTTGTGAGCGTAGTTGTCAAAATACTTTGAGAAGTGGGACGCCAACTACTCGCTTGCGGGGGCCAGCGCGGGTTCTCACCGTCTTCTGCGTCTTTCCCGCCTCTTCCTTGTCCTGCATGATGGTCACGATCATCACTTCTACCTCGGCTTGGGTCTTGATCAGCACCGGTTCCATGGCTGTGAGTTGTTCTTGCAGCCCCCCTACCTGCTCCTGCGTCGAGATGATCTTGTCCAAGCCCACCTATACACCCGCGCAGAAAGGTACGACAAAGGTAAAATATGTGATGATGTCGCGTGCGCTGCGAAACGTTAACACGCTCGAATGATAATAGAAGGTCCACTGTTTGTCAAAAAGGAGATAATTGACCAGAATTGACCGCTCAAGTGTGCCGGCACCCTCTTGTCATCCCACCTACCCCTGAATTCCAACGTATTTTGGCTTGATGAAAAAGGTTGCGGTGCCTGGGTCCGCGATGTGAGCCAACAGCTATACAGGGAACATGTTGCACCGTTTTCTTCAATGCGAAAAAAGAAGCTTTGGCAGCAACAGCAACAACAACAAGAGCAGTATTCTCAATCAATCGACATGTAAACGGTTCTTGTAGAGGCCGACTTTCGAGGCTGGCCGCATCTACGACGACAACTGTTTGGTCAACCGGGGTATCACGATAATGCTACAACCACTGATTGTACCTGCTTGTTCATAACCTGGCGACAACAACGAGTAACGCTCAATGGAAAATAATAGGTCTCATACCTGCAGACGGTTCTTGAGGGTGCCGACTTCGAGCCTCTTCATAGTCAAGACATTTCTGTAAGTGCTCAGCACCTCCAGATATGACGTCGGTGTCACGTAGTTGTAACGCCTCAGGGAAGACAAGAACTCCAGGGACTCCTTAGCCACGCTCTGATGCACATGCTTCACCATCTATGCCACGGAGGAAGAGTCATGGAAGAGTCAACGGAGAAGTGCAGACCAAGGTATAGTAGAGCGTGTTAGTCAGCAACCAAGAACAGGCCAAGCTCTGAGTGCGTTATCACCATCTACGCATCAGGTCAGGAAGGCAAATAGATCTGCTGTCGTTCGCCGTTGTACATGTGTGCAAAAAAATCGTAAATGTCCTTGTAGTGCGTCTTCTCGCAAGATTAGAGTTCATTTTGGCTGACCACGGATTGAAAAGTTCGGAGCTGTTGTTTCCATGACATTCAATAAGAACGTTATTGTGCAAAGGAGCCCCAAGACGGTAGGATTCGCACACCAACCCCATCATGTCGATAGCACGTGGTTGGGGTTTCTATCAACAGGTGAGGGAAGAAGGGGGTGGGGGGCGCATATTTCTAAAGAAAACGATATCTGTGGGGACACCGTACTCGTTCTTGCTTGCCGAGCTCAACTGGGCGCTACAATGAGGGTTCCTGCCCTCCCTTGCCGAGACCAGTTAAATATGTTCCCAGAAAGTTCAAGCCAATACACTGGTGTCATTACGCATCAGCTTGTCGGTACTTCACTCACCTCGACAACCTTGCGCTCATTCTCGCCTAGATCCAGTTTGGACTCCGAGAGACTGCGCGTTGCCACGGATTTCAAAGCCTGTTTGGGTTCACAAATTCAGTAAGGCCTTGACCACGTCTTTTTTCCCAACCAATTTGGTCGTTCACATCAGTGTTTGATACGTTTACCTAATTTTTTCTCGTATACCATGCAACGGCACGCCTCAGGCATCATCTTCCCAATGGAATGCCACTGGATATGACAGAAGCCACAGCTGAGCAAGACGTGAGCGCCTGCGAATAACCCACACAAGTCTCTCTAAAGAACCTTCTTTCAGTACCACTTCGTAGCAGCACACTCATCATTGACACCCCTGCAGTGCCGCATACGCCGGCACCCAAGACTGTGGTGGTAGCGCAGCAACTGGCGATGTAAGCAGAGTTCACACAAAACTCTATCCATGTTCTTGACTTTTCTTGCGTGGGGTATGTCTGGTGGCAACTCCTGAAAAAAAATCATGTTCAAGAAGGCGAACCAAAGCACGGACCAAACACACAAGCCCGATCCTATATGCATCCCTACGAAGAATCAACAAGCGGTTAGCTAAGCGATAGATCACTCACCTCGTCGGGCCACTCCATGAACCAGTCAATGGTGCAACAGTTGACAATGGAGGGGAACATTCGGAGGCGTGTCCGGAAGGCTTCCCCCAGGGGCGACATGCACAGGACGATGTGGATGTTAGCCCGCACGCGGTTGATGTACTGCCATGGTGATGCCGTAACGTGCCGAATGGTGAGTACCGTGTCGAGTCGAGGGTAATCCAAGAAAGCAGGAAGTAGGATCGCGCACATATTTCGTCAAGATTACATGTGCCGAGATCGCACAAAGGGGAAAAAACACAACATGCTCTGTCCGCCGAGGACCCACATGTTGGAGTTTTGAGCGAAACCTGTGTGGAGTTGATTCTGGATAAACCATTTTGTTTTTTAGATTAGAAACATTCAGGGTTCATAACTAGCACGGAAGACAAGATCAGAACGCGGGCTTCTGTGAGGACGCTCCAAGCGTACATGGAATTGAAAACATAGTCTGCGGGAAGGCTGCAGGATGCTCTCATATGTGGTATTTTTCTCCACAGCTCATGAGGGTCAACCGTCTCGCTTGGACCGCAAAGACGCCTGGCTGATCGGCCTGTGTTGCATGCATGCAGATGGCCTACCTGCGCGAAGACGTTTAGCTTGGTCGCCGGGATGCGCTTTTTGGCGCAGATAGGCCTACAAGCGGTCATAATGCGGTCCATTTCCTCCGGCCCGTACAGGTTAGGGACATCTCCCGAGTTCAAGATGTTGTTCACGTCTTCCAGCATACCCTCGTTGACGATCTGCATTAGGTTGCGTTCAACCAGAACACGGTAATAATTTTTGGTCGATGGTCTACAAGATGCAACTTGCACACATTCGATGTTAGTGAGCTTCGTATTTTGAACCCACAGTATGTGTTTCTATTGCAAATTGGCCACCGTAGCCATACCAACGGGAATCTAAAAACGATTTTCAAACGTGTTCCGGACAAACCACGACGACGTTAGAGATACACACCTGGGTGTCATTGAAGAGGAAAACCACGGATTTGTCGTCCACGCCGGCCTGCATCAGGCACACCTTGAGGTCCTCATGCCACTCGACCGTCCCGTAGTTCTTTGCGATCTCAATCTGATTGGTCAATAACGCACGAACCAATCAGCGGCCCTTCGTAAACCCGACGGCTAGCTAGGGGAGGGAAAAGCTCTACGATATTTGTGCGGAGAAAGACATCCGGCGCGCACCTCCTACACATGGACACATATTCGCAAGCAATATATTTATCTTCTGAAGTACGTCCAGCGTATTGTACCTGGAACAGAACGAAATCCGCCATAAATGTTGCCAAGCGAGTCAGTGACTGCCGTCCAGACCCCCCTACCCCGAGCAGCAGGGCGTTTCCCATCGGTTGCCTTTCGTCAGGAGCAGATAGAGACGGGAGATGGAAAGGGCAACGACGTCCTTGGGGCTGGATACTTTGATGACAGGATGGAAGGGTGCCATGGAAGGTAGGAGAGAAGCCGTTTGGTGGAGGAGATGAACCATTTCTGATCTCAACATTTCAGGGTTTCGGGGTGTCCGTATACTGGGTACAGTCAGCCTCACCAGCGTTAGAATATCCAGGGAGTCAGGCAGAGTATCAAGTTACACGCGGTTTAAATTACCTCGACTCGTGCATGGTCCAATGGATCAAGTGCGTTGCACGACCCAATACTCATTTTGTGTTGGACTTGACCCATTATCATGTATCGCATTTGATACTCTGGTTGTACTGACGCATCGCGATCCTGTCGATGGTGGCAAACTCTGTGGTGTGGTTCCGTTTGGTTTGATGAGACTCACCGTATTACTCGGCTGATCCTGGAGACGTGTTCGATCGCGTCTCCGAACATGACCAGATGCATCGGCTGCTTGCTCTCGCCGTTGAACTCTCCGAGGTACTCCTCCACGGTGCTCTGCAGATTCTCGAAGTCCTTTACCTCTTCGTAAATCTTGAGTCAGAAAACGGTTCACAATGAGCGAGGGGGCAAACTTAACGAAGATTCCGATCGAAGAGGTGAGGCGAAAAGTAAACAGTTTGACGACGGAAGTGTTTTCCATTGGTTTAAGTTGTTCACCTAACCCTCACCTTGCTGGTGTGTCTACATCAACCCGTCTCAACCCCAACATCCCGAACACCCCTTTGCACATTAACCCCACCGTAGACTGCGACTCCACCCCTGATTACCTTCGGCTCCGCCCCCGGTATAAGGAAGTCGGCGTACATGAGGAAGCTCCGTTTTGTTCCTGGTGCTCCGATAGTTTCATCCCAGTCTAGCCCCAGGTGCTCCGCCCCCTGTTTCTTGGCGAGGTCCTCAAACCAGTCCTTGTCTTCGTAGGAGATCAGACGGTCGGCGAACACGCGACGTGTCTCGTGCACCCAGACGCGAGCTAGGTCGGCAGCGGTTGACACTCGGCGGTGATCCATCATCAACATGCCCTGCAGCAGTCATTTTGTGAACGGAGGCATCAGCGAAACACTATGTCTAGGAGGCTGGTAATGCGGACGGAGACGTCGACGGCGGTTTTGCCGGCTTCTGTGTTGCCGGGTTGAATGAGCGATGACGATCATTGCGCGTCCCTTGCGTGGTTTTCGCCAATCAACGGGTAGAGAGACAATCAATGTAGTTCTGACCGTTGGGGTATTCCGGTTGCTGTGCACGAGGAACGTTCCAGGCTAGCAGCACACGTCAGTATATAGCTAGAACACAGCCAACCTAACAAGCAACGAATTTGAACGACATAAAAGACAAGTACAACTTTTTCGACGTAGATAAAAATCGAAGCAAAACAGTGTTTGCCGCCTGTTTGACTGTACCGCACAGTAGCATAATACCTCACCTGGAAAACCTTGGACAAATCCCTGAGGTTGTAAGTGTAGTGACTCTTGGCAGGGGTGGGCCTTAGATCCGCAAGGATAGTGTTGTACATTGCCACAGTGGCGGCTACGATGGGCTCTGCGAGGGTTTTGCACTCCGCCGAGAACCTTTCCAAGAAATTTCCGAAGATTGTCCGGAAAATAAGCGTCATGCTATCGTCCTGCATAGCCGTGTACCTGAGGGTTGGAGAAAAAAGATACATTGACACTTTGAACAAGCTTGAGACGGAAGCGTAGAAATCAGGTACAATATGGGAGCTTTTTTTTCTATCAACCAGGAACCCATCCAAAATATTCCTAAATAGGCTGAGGCTTCGTAGTAGCAACATAGCGGAATCGGGCAGGCGAAACGATAGTTCGCTTCAGGAATCGACACAATGTTTGTCTTCCTGGGCGCATCAACTGCGCGTGGTACACTTGCTGTGCGAACTGCAACCCTTCCCCAGCGAGGGGGCCAGTCACAAGTCATACCTCAACCCGGGCGACATGTTGAAAACGTTGGAAATAAGAACAAGTATCCCTTGCAAGGCCGCAAGTCTAATAGAATGTTCGTGAGCGAGCTTCTAAATGGCCGGCCTTCTACTATAGCTTCACGTATCCCAAATAGTCCGCTTGCAGAATTTCACTGGAGCCGCAAGCTACCAGGAGCTCATCTACAAGGAGCGCAGAGGGATCATGCGCAGTTCCAAGCTGTCATGGAAACGGTGCGCACAGCCCGAAGCAACTCGCTACTTCTTGCAACGGGCTTGATACTGAGCTTTGATAACTCATCATACCACCGGTGGCGTTGTTGCACTCACGCGACGATGTTGAAGTGTCTGAAGAAGCGCGCCGTCACTGGGTTTCGGCCCCCGCCCGGGGGTCCGCAGGCGCACACGAAGACAACATCGATGATCAACCGGAATTGCAAGGCCTTGCGGTCGTACCTGTTGGCACAACGCCGCATCGTACCGTTCCACGGATGACACAGAGAACAAGGTTGAAACTTATACCACATAATAATGATTTGTTGAGGGAAGGCGTGTCTTTGGGGAAACAGGTTGAATGCAGCCATCATACTTACAGGATGAAACACTTCTGTGTTACATGTTTCAACGCGGCAGGGTCGAGCAAGGTGGTGCCGTTGGCCCACAGAAAGTAAGCGAAAGGCACTTAACAAAGAACGCGTGCAGTCGTTGAAACTCAAGCTGCACTGTTACGAAGGACACAAAGGTGAAAGCAACATGGCGGGCTGACGCACCAACCGCCACTATCGAACCATTGTCGGAGCAATTCGATCGGAGGCTGCGCGCCGTAGAACTCTTTCGTTGGCATATTCACGTCGTCCACAAACAGGATGAACTTCTTCCCAGCGGTGGGGCCGAAAACGCCCTTCCTTCGCTTTTCGCACTTGCCATCGATCAGGTCCTGAAAAAATGGACAAGCCAGACACGCATGTTTGGTCTTGTACAGGGCAAACGGAGTAACAACTGGTTCGTGAGAGAGCTGCAAAGACGTCGTCAACATCAAGACGAAGCACAGACCAGACTGATACGCCACCGTGATTAATTTCAGAAGCCCTCAACTTGGGGAGCATGTATTTCAACTTGTTGAATGTGCGATCGAAAGCTTGCCTGGGTCTGATTCGCCGAAGTCTGTGCGGAGAAGGCGAGACAGAGAGGAACGAACGAATCGGACACCCCGGTTTGGAGGTGCTGCACCACGTTGACAGTTTTACCCGTGCCGGTCGGTCCTGCGATGCCAGAGAGCAAAGTGAGGGCCTAGATCAGAGCCACAACGGAAACGTCGAACACGTATCTTCCTCGCATTCCAGAAACCATCGTAAATCGAAGACGAAGAAGGACAAACGTCCCATTTCCAGGCCAGAAAACGTTCAAACCGTTTTTGTGGCCGGCATACTGTGCGGTCACGAGAAAGAACGGAGACTGCATGGACTAAGTCTTATATCCTAAGACCATGTCCACGTCGAACATCCTGCAGTGAGGACCATCACATGCTAGAATCCAGGTAAACGCCAACTTTTGAAGCAGGGACATTCTGTTACCCAAGGCATCCACAATCAGGGAAGTTATGTAGTATTGCAATATCAAGGGGGTTACTTTCCTCTGGGTTGGAACCGGTCAGTACATAGGTTCTGGGCGCGGAGAGCGAGCATTAGATTTCACCTGCCCCTGAGCCGGTGAAAACATCGACAGCCAACTCTCTTTTGAGAAGGGAAGCCTTCTTGTGAATCGCTTCGTGATCTTCTGCTTTGCTCCCACGACAGAATAGAGCCACGGATGAGTGCAACGTGTGGATGTCTTGCTAACGACACCGCGTGTTGTACCTGTCATGAGCACGTGCTTGTCTCCGTCGATGAGGAGATTGAGGAGATACGTGTAGCGGACGCTGTCTACCGTGGGGATGATAAGCTCACAGAACTCCAGTTTGGGGTCGTGCCTGTAGAGGAAGCAAGGCAAACACCAGGGGAACAGACGGGTGTATCATGTATTCTCAAGAGTTAAGACTATTGGCTGCATCTCACCCATCTCGTCGAACTGAAAATGAGAACATGGATATTCATATCATGTCGATGAAAATTTTATCAGGGTCTTCACCTTAAACATCGTTTAATACCATTCCTTTTGTGTCTCGAGCTCGAAACCGGGGAAACTTGGTGTCTGTGGCATGCGGTCTACAAGCCGTATGTCGCTCAAGCTCCGCTTCTCAACGATTTCGAAGAGCTTAACTCCACACGGTCAAACATGCCGCCATGTGTTCTCCGCGCGGAGGTCTTCATAAGTGTCCGTTCGTTTGAACATGCGCAAAGCTTGGTTTTCCCATGAATAGTCTCCCATGTACTACTCGAAAGCTTCCACCTCTCTTCTCACTTGTATGGCGCCACGGTATCCATCCACGGGACCCACTCCATCGTTTCCTGGTCGAAGCAGAAATCGTAAACCAGCTCTCCCTCGGGAAAGGGCTTCGCAGCACCGCTTGATCGCATCTCGCCCCTACATGGGATGAACCAAACATTAAAAGATAGCCCTCAACCAGCGTTTGGAAAAGGATGCACCCTAGCTGCTCACCTTGGAGGTCGAAAGTGTTGTAACTTGACCTATTACAACACTTGAAGAGATGCTTGGCTTACATCCTTACGAAGTAAGGGTGCACAGATCGAACCATTTCAACATTGACAATGTCTTGGACTTCAGTCTTCCGGGGTGCTTTTGGGCGAGTCAAACGCTTCGGGATGTGAAAAAGAAGCGACTTGACGCTACTGTTTCCGTGAGCGCAGTCCACCTTCCTACCCCGGACACAATCGGGTTGTTGTTCACCTGATGAATTGGTCCATGAACTCCCGGCCCTTTCGGTCGACCGTGGCGAGAACCGACCACACCAGAGCAAACATGAAGAGGGGTTCCACACTCTTCTTGAGGTTCTCGGTGGCCTCTGGGGTCTTCCGAACGACGCCTTCGAACGGCCGAAACTCCTCGAAGTAGCAGTCTAGGATGTTCATCAGACCCTGCACAAGGCACCCGTCCACCTGACACAGGACCAGAGACAGACACAGCCACAGACAATTCAGGGGACGTACTAAAAACAATACGCGTATTGTTACTCAGACCATGTCACAATTATAGTTTCTTCGGGGTAGGCCCCACTGGGGCAACACTAAGATTCACAACACTGCGGCTCTCGGCACGGTACGGGATATTCAGCGCTTCTCTGCAGCAACGTTTCTAGCGCTGTGTTGGCGGAATTATGCGAGGGGTGAAACGGTATGATGCTTCCATATGACATACGGTACTCGGGGGGCTGCAGGCAATTTAGCGTTTCTCTGCAGCAACGTTTCTAGGGCTGTGTTGACGGAACTGTGCGAGGGGTGAAACGGTATGATGCTTCCATATGACGTACGATACTCGGGGGCTGCAGGCCATTTAGTCGTGCTGGTGTCGTTGGCATTTTTTTATTTGTCCCACGAGCTGAGTTCCGCACACTGGTTTACTGACATTGACACACCTTTCGGTTGTGTGTGTCTGTATATTTAATTCATTGTCGGGATGTCGATTGTGTATACATAGGTGTTCATACGTATTTGGCTTGTGCGAATTATGGAGGCATTTAGTAGACAGAGAAGAACGAGTTTTCATATGTGCATAACCAAAGTAGTGGCGACAACAACAACAACAGTTCATGCCTAAGGCAAGCTGATGCTGAAGCACACTTACCGACGGCAGAGGTTCGAAGCAGAAGCGGCGCAGGGCCGATAGAGTTGATGCGACGTACGTGTCGAACAACCGAGACAGCGTAACCCTGCAGAGGTGTTCAACATCGGTAACACCACGACGGGTAACGTGCCGAGAAAAGTGGGCCGGGCGAGGGGTTGGAAAAACGAATATTTCGAAGGGAGAGGTCAGGAACGTCAACAATTTACTATAGTAGACGTTGAATGGCGGGGACAAAGTTGGCCCCCGAAGCCAATAATAGCAGACTATTACACCGCCGATACGTCTCGCGGAGAACAGAAGCTCTACCCAAGAGAACCACAAGCCCCACCTAACCCCCTTTCTTGCTTGCCGGACGCGGCAAAGGCGCCAACCTCGCACGTATATATTGATGAGTTCCTACCGAAATGGTTGCAACTCCAGGATCTGGCTCAAACATCAATCACTGTGCTCTTCACATTGATATCCCACGCCCCTCGAACCCTCTCTTGCTCACCTTTCACCGGCACCAATGACATCTGGCAGCTGCACGAGCCAGGATTGCACAAGCGGGTCGAACCCGAGGCTCTTAGGCTCCATGTAGATCATGCCGCATCTGGACACCGTGGCAGGGGAGGCGACGGCTAGGTCCTCCGGCTCGAACATCATGGTCATCGGCTCGGATAGGGACATAATCTCTCCCGAGGTTAAACACAGCTGTCAAGCAATGCGCAAGGAGTGTACGAAAATTTCATTGGTCACGTTGAGTTCAAACGACGATCTGCTAAACAGACACTACATCAAAAAGGGGCTTGTTGAAGTGCGGTAGCCGCCGGCTCATAAGCGAAGATCGCTTTTAGGGTGAAGCTTAATACCTTGTCCAGGTGGATCGGTTGAGCTCACGGTTCTTGTCCCTCCATCTGTCAACCATATAAACAAAATCGAAACGCACCTTTTTGTTGTCGTCGAGCACGGTGTTCATGTTTTCAATCCAGATAGCATCCACCGGGCCGTCAAACAGCACCCACTGGAGATCTGACACTTCCTTTCGGGCGCACGAGCGGACCAAGTCTGCCAACACACCGTCCTGAGCGCATTGTCAGGGGTAGGCACGGGTGTGTCAAACTGGAGGGGTGCGGCAGTGGTCCCGTAGCCTGTTTGACATGAATTTCTCCAGGTCCTCTGCAAAGCTACCGGTGCTGGTCGTTTGCCCCCAACATGTGAAGCCTTTTTGTCCTTGCCTTGCCTCCGGTTTAACAAGTATCGATACATACGCGTTATTCTTTCTCAAGGATCACCTGCCACTCGTGGGTGTTGTCGTCAAACTCGCCGTACAGCTGTCCCATTGTGATGGACTTGGGGTTAAGGTGAAACGTCTCCACCTTTTCGTAACGCTCGCCCTCAACTCCCAGCCGCTGTTGGTGATGATGCAAGATATGATAGGGAGTACAAGACGTGACCAATTTGCCCGAAACTTGAGCAAAAGCATAATTGGAGCAACAACCTCAACACAGTGGATCGGTGCCAACATGTGGAGACTCAAGGCACGTTGATTTGTGCGATAAACGACCAAGGTTGTCCTTCACACTGTCGCCCTGGCTCTGTCCATATCCATGTTCACATCTACTACGACCAGCATGTGAGAATATCTGGTGCAAGCGCTTGGCACGCGAGGCACCGTTGTTGCACTATCCACTATACGTGAACACAGGTCGTTTTCATGTTTCATGCTGTCGTTGTCGTACCTTAAGATGCGTGAGAGCCTCCTTGAGAACAGCGATGTTCTTGCTCTTGCCTCCGCCCGTAGGTCCCACCACCATCAGGCCGTGTCGCACGCAGATCATCTCGTACAGCTCAATGGCCTTTGTCAGGAAGATTGGTACCTGGACGACCACCGACGCCACAAAATGATGGACGCCACCAACAGATTAGATTTTGTCAGCAGGGAGGTCCTTATGCATTGTACATAGATGCTCACGCCTACACTGGACCCTTTCAAATATGCGGGTGAACGTTTGGGCGTGACAACCTTGAAATAGAAACAAGATGTCTTGTAAGAGCAAGTCAGAGAGGGTCGGGTACCTACCAAAGAACATTTTTTCGGAAATATTCTGTGAACTGTATTGTGATTTTTTTTTTCGTTCGACAACATTCGGACGTAGACACCATGCCTTCTTCGGGACAAGGGGCGCTGATAACACGTTAAGACCCCCCCAGGACCTACGCTACTTGATTAGCACCACTTGTGGCACGACCGCGACCATCGCCAAGTCAGCCAGCCTTGGGCAATGCGCCGACGTCTTCTGAACAACGCTCGCATTTCAAAAGGAGTTCAAAAAAATCTTGCCAATGCTACGTTTGGGACTAGTGTCAGTTGTCTCACCGGTTGTAGGCCCTGGTTCTGCATGGCCAGCTTGAGCGAGTTCAGCAGCGGCCCATAGTCAAAGGCTGGGCGCTCTATGCCGGGGAACAGGTCGCTCAAGATGCCGCCGAACAGGGGTAGGTCGTGTGCCAGAAACTTGGGCACGTTCACGTCCTTCGCATGTGTTGAATGCATTCGTACCGATTGCAGTGAAGGGTAGAGTTGTCAGGTGTACTGAAACCGATGTATGCGTTGCTAAAATTCCGCCTTGTGATTTCGGGCAGCACGATACACCATAGAGCTGCAAGAAGCCGGAAAGATGGCGCGAAACGGAAGTTGCCGTGGATGCTGTGTCGCCCATACGCATGTCGCAACCATGGTGTGGCTATAGAAAGCACCTATATTTTGGTAGAGTCAACGATTAGAACTACTCCCTGTGTTGCACCACACCTGTAACGCTCTGAGGAGCAACGCCTCCTCGTTGGCCTCTGGACTGGCCCTCTTGAGGTTCCCGGCCGCGGAGATGACAGTCTTCACGGCTCGCATGCCGTAGTCATAGTGGTCCTAACGGTTGCGGTTGAGCGGAGAACAGTGACAAAACGTCGTATGGTTTCCGTGAGGTGCGATATCGAGCTCATGTGCGGCAGCTATTCTGTGCACAAGTGCTTCCCCAGACCCTGTCTTACCATACATCGAGCCTTGTACAAGTCGATCTGGACGCGAATGATCGGGATTGTGTTCGAACCTCTGTGCGGCAATCGTCAAGAATATAACCGTACTACAGGGCAAAAATTGACGGTGATACCTGTTGTTGATCGGTTGGAAATCGCAAGGCCAATGTGTAGCCGTGAAGACTATCCGTTCTGGAAATCAGAACGGCTTTGCAGGCAACGCCTTATTCGTCGCAACCCACTTAATCCATACGCAGTCGCCTTTGCAAGCTAGAGGCATGAACTAGAGTACCTCGAATTCGGAGCAGGCGGCCATCTTCAAAAGCAAGAGAAGTTCGGTGGTTCGAAACAAGCTTTCAAGAGCTAATCACCTGCGCGGACAGCTGCTCCGAGCAAAGCCGGAAAGTTGCCACCATCTTCTGGGCGCATTTCCTGTTTTCCAGGTAGCCGAAGCTGAAAAGCATGATCTCGCCGATCAGGGCGTAGTCCGGCACCATCATGGCGACGGGACGGAATAACGCCTCCAAGTTGTCGGGCAGGGCCGACCGGCCGGCGTACCCGGGGTTCATGGTGATAAACACGGCGAAGTCTGGATTCACGAATATGTCCGTCTGTTGCGAGAGATTTTGATGCGCGGTACAGCGAAGATGGGACCCAGGGGAGGCGGGAGTGAGAGGTGGTTCGCAAGAGTTGAGCTTATTCGGTATGAGAGGTGTATCGGTGGAAGCGGTGTTATACATGGATCGATCGAGTCCATTTCGATGACCTGATACCTGGAGAGAACTCGTAGAAGAAAAGAATGGGGGGATTGTTGTTGCGCCATTTCCGGCCCAGAGCTGACTTGATACACGAGTAGGTGTGGGTTGCGTGCAGCTTTTACCTCACAATCTTGGAGAGTTCGATAAGACCTTTGTCGAGCATGAATACGTCAACGCCGTGGATAATCACCATGCCGGTACAGATATCATGTTGTTCAGCGCCGGCAAGGGGAGGGTACTTACGTCCTCGAAAATAACCCGCTTTTCCCCTCGCTGGACAGCCCCTTGGAGGGTCATGATTTGTTGGGCAATCACACTCAGCACCTAGCCAGAGAGGGATGCGAGGCAGATGGCCGAGGAAGAAAGAGCACGGACATTTGTACGAATTATTGGCGGGACAAGGGTTCGCATACCCGTGACTGGGGCCAAGCGATGAACCGTCCTACAGCAGGCAAGACAAAGGCACAGTATTAAAATATATATTTGTGTGTCTGAGGCCGTCAGGGGTTAAACAGCAAAGAAGAGGTGTTTTGTGTCTGAGCAGAAGGGGTTGATAATGTTTCCCGTGCAGATTCTGTCTCACATGCCAACCGGGGGTGGCTTCAGGCTGGACGAGCGAAGGGAAAGGGTAATAAGGCACACCATGATTTAGAACTACGACGGTTCGAGTTCGAGGGTGCCCTCCAAGAGGGAATGGCACGTCACCTCAATGTTGATGCGGTTGAACTCGTCGAAGCACGCCCATGCTCCTGAAGATGCCAACCCTGCAATGGTTGGATGGGAGACGGTAGACAGAGCTCAAACATCTGCAACGACACTGTAGATTGTTTCACGGAATGACACGGTAAGGCAAACGCTGTCGTTCATTGAGGATTTGCAGCAAGATATGGCCTACCCGGCCAGATCTCATTATGCGAGCGTGCGCCGGTTCTAGTGTACAATGACCCGCGTAATGGGTTTGTCTCCCTGTCCTTCTCTTGACGTGTCACTAAGACCTAGCGAAAGTGAGAATTCCTACCCTCACTTGCCTTTAAAGAACTTCCCCATGGCGAGGTAGTCAAGCCCGTCGGAGCAATTGAACACGACACACTGTTTGGCCAAGGCTTTAGCCAGATCCTTGGTCGTCTCCGTTTTCCCCGTACCTGCTGGTCCCGCCGGGGCGCCGCCAAGGATCATCTAAAGTGCGATAAGTCCAATCGTGTGGGGAAACGGAAGTGGGTCGGGACGTGCCATTACTGGGCAAGGAAAATGGCAAACGGCATCGCTCGGGATAGCTATCAATAGCTGCAGGATACAATGAATGGAAATTGTCGTTTTCCTCCAGCCATTCTCATAGTGCTACTGACTGAGCTTGCATCGAGTCATGTCCAATGTCTGACGGGGTTCCAGTTACTCTTAAGATGTGGGAATCTGGAGGACGAGGGGCAACCGCTTGAATAGAAAAAGACGGGAAGTTCCATCCGTCCATTTAACCCCAACGAGAACGACTTCCCTGAGCGACGAAACAACATGTCCAACGATCGACGACTGAACGTACTTTTATGAAAGGGTGGATGCGCAACAAGCTCGGATACATACGTAGGTCGCCCGGGGGGGGGCGAGAAGTTGCCATAAATCGCGGTAAACGCACGAGCCCCTCGGTGAACGTCAGTGAACGTCGGACGTTCGTGTTCTGTTGCTTAACGCGACAGTACGTCATACATGCGGGAGCGTGCTGTGAGCGGGCGACGGAATGACGTCCTAAAAGAACGCCACACATCGTAGTACATGGCAGGGGTCGAGTATTTCTCGTATCTCCAGAAAAAATAGATATTCTCACCTGCAGCGCACTCATGATGGTGAGGTAGCACTTGTCCGTGAGAGGGGTGATCACCAGACGAAAGGAGTTCCCGAGATACTCGTAGCCGTATTGCCTCTCGCTCGACACCATAACAACCTGCTCAGAAGGTCAAAATCAGCTCAAATGCCACATATACAGGCAATACTCGCCGTATTGGGTCAGTATTCTTCAGAAGCAGGAATGTGGCCTGTTGTCTCGACACGGTCGTAGTATGGACTGACACCCAAACCAAAGGATGTGCCACGTGTCAGGCAATGCCAAAGTTTGCCCTTGAAAACCTCTGGCCGAACTTACGACAGAGGTACCATACCCGTGCTGGCTCTCGTGTGATACAAGCACACCTTGTTCAATGGTCCAACCTTACGATACCATCTCAGGTATGCCTCCCGTACTACATTGGAGAAGTATCCTCGCTTTTGCTTTTCGTTGCCCACCTTGAGGTGGCCGGTTTCGTCGTCGCCCCTCCAGTAGAAACGCATCTGTGAGGCCCAGTCGAAATCTGTGGCTGCCGCAACACCCGCGTCCGCCATCTGCGATGAAACAAAGGCCGTTTCATTCATGTAGTTGTTGCGAATGTCGGTTGGCATCTCAGTTGCAAAACACATTATTCCATGAGCGGGAGGAGCGATTGTCCTTCGTCATAGCCTGACGGCCGACTATACCTACACCCCGACCCGGATGCTAAACCAAATCATATTTTTAATTCTTGGACGTACCTAAACCATACCTTTTTCATGACATCGCGAGCGTGGACGTCAATGACGGCCAAAGCCCCAATGGTGACCCTAGCCATCTTTGAAAGCTGTCCGCGGATGAGGTACACCATGTCGTTTAGCTGCCCGATGAGCTGCTCGTAGTAGCGGTGTACCCCCTCGTTGCCGCCTTCCAGCATCGCCGCCTCCGTCTCCGCCGTCCAGTGCACCTGTTGATATGTTTGTACGTTCGACTTAGCTGCTATACGTCATCGCATCAAAACGCGAATGAGCATGCTGTTGACTACCCATTCACATTAAACTACTGCATGCTGTTGACTACCTACCCGTTCACATTGAACTACCGACCGGTAATCCAGGTGTTGTATTTGCAAATATTACGACTGTGACCCTTTGATAGAAGAAAAAAGTACTACGTTCCGTTTGAAATCGCCATCCGAATTACGGGGAAAGAGTTGCTAAGTACACCGGTCCATCTCCTCGTTTCCACCTTGTTCATCGCGTCTTTTGCTATGCCGCACATTAGACCGATGAACGACAAATCCTCGCGCGCATACGAGCTTGTACGAAGTCCTTGAAAAATAAACTCCAACCAGTGACGGTGAGTTACATTGCAGCATTCAAGCATAGATACATCTTTGTGTAACACTACAGCGTAGCCCCCTTCTCTGGCACCTGAGGTTTCCGGGGATTGTAACCTCCACAGGATCCTACGATGACAACTGCTAGGCTGTTAGGTGCTTACCTGAGATCCGTTAAGCACAATCTGTCCGGGCCAGTTCTGCATCCACTGCGTCCGGTCGATGACAAGGTAGTCGTTGACTCCAAGCATCATCTGCTCCCTTACGCTGGCACACATCATATCGCAAACCTGTCCGCGTTGCACGGAAGGTTTACGATGTCCACATTCAAAGCGTCTCTTGCATCAATACAATAACAGTCGCATTCGGAATCAACCTTAACCCTTCCGGCTCTCCCAAATCTGTTCTCAACACATTTTCCGGCAGCTCATGTAAGAGCACAACTTGCATCCCTCCTCTACACCTAAGTTTAAAAAATGCTACCCCAATAGTTGGTGCACCATTCCATCACCGTTTCCAGAATGCAACACTGTTGAAATGAAGACCTTTGTCCCTTTTGTCACACACCACATATACCCGTTCTCATGCAAAGGGAAAGACAACTCACCTCTACCATCCAGTTCTCGATGTTCTTGCCGTTCGGGTTCACCGGCGCCTTGAATGGCACCTACAGTAGTAAAGCGTGCACAAAGAGCGGTGTGGTAAACATTCGCTGAGTGAGGCAACATAGCTGGCGAACACTCACACGATACATGAAGTCATTCTCAAGCTCAGGTTCGCTTACGAAGGGACCCACACAAGAGTTGAAAGGGTGCCCTGACCGCAGATTTACGTCATGGTGATTGAAAATGTTGTGGTGCAGAGTGGGTGTGTTGCGAAAACCATAGCATGTCTTCCCCTTGTATTAACAGTGTACACCTCATTGTCGCGCCGTCGTAGTATACCTTCTCGCCCTCTGATGAGTTCATGCCGTGGATAGTCAAGTCGTCGGCAAAGTCCACCGTCTTAATACCCTCAAAGCACTTCCGGAGATGCGGTTGCACTCGTAACGGGTCCTGAAAAGGGTCAACGGTAGGTTCGCGGATAGGCTTACCGTGGTTGTGCCGTTCCATCTTTTCTAGGCGTCTGTTGCTAAGCAAAGAGTTAGCATTAGTATCAAACATTGGTTGCTATTTGGAAGCGTCTCATTTAAACGAATCGCGAACATGAGAAACCAGCGGAGGAACACGATTTCGCGAGCCGCGCGTTGCCACAAATACTCTACGCCCGCTTCTGTGGAACAGCGACGCCAAAAGTAACCGCCAAGACCTGCATCTGGCAGTTGACTATTGGGTTCAGGTGTCGAGAAAAACCATCAGCAGCACTTCTATTGTTAATGTGAGGGCCTGAATGAGGCGGGAGAGTATCTACCGCTTGAAAGCGGTCAACATCCAAAATCAGGCAAGGAGGCCAGAGGATACTGTTGCGGTAGTTTCGTGGAATCTGGAAGCTATGGTCAATAGAGCTCCGAAACAAGTTAAGCTTTCCAGAGGTTTTCTTCAGCTAACTCCGCGGAGTGGAGTGGGTTGCTGAAAGTTGGCGAGGTGCGGAGGTGCGGGGCCCATATCCGCGCGGACGACAACCTCACGGGGCGACGCAGATTGTACCCGCCGAGCTGAGACGATCTCGTAGCGGGTGATACTGTCCGCTCACCCCTCCATGCGATTGGCCTGCGGAAAAAGCCTTCATCCCCTGAAAAAATAGGTGAATGTGGTATCGACTGTCTCCAAACTATATGCTCTGCATGTGCCAACCTTCGTTTGGCTGAGAATTTCGAGCAGCTCATCGTTGGACAGGAAGTAGAATCGGCTGAAACCCGCTCTCTTGGTCTCGAGATAGTCGCTCAGGCCCTTCTGCACCATGTCCAGCAGCTTGGCGCTCTCGCGGAACTTGTCCAGCAGCTTTGCGTCGTTACAGAACCTGATGCACCTGTGAGAAGCAAACCACAGAAGAACACGAATGTATGTGTGAATCAGCGCCAAAAAAGGCGTTCGGATCCCCTTATCACCGTATACCAGGATCAATATGGCCACCGGTTTGGAAACTACCAGAAATTCATGAGGTTGACTCTCTCGTGAATATCAACGCATGTAGCGGTCTGCTTGGACGGAGCAACTGTGGAGGGTAGCGCCGTCAATAAACGTCATGCCCACCACCCCAACCATACGTGTCATTGCAACCGCGACACGTGTGAAGGAACTCACAAGGTACCCCCCCCAGCAGAAGCCATTGTCGCTCTCCAGTGCTTGTCGACGCTCGAGAAGCGCTTTCCCTCGGCGGGTAGCTGCTTGTTGATATCTTCCGAGTCGAAGATAGGTTGCAAGTACAGCCAGTTACGCTGCACAGCAAGCCACCCGTCGATGAGCTCGCTCACCACCTGAAGAATGGAAGTACAAAGAAAATGGAGTCCAAGTCTTAAGTTGCGGAAGGGCACGCACGGTGGGCGTCATTCCCATTTTGATTGACGGCAGGACAGATTTGGTCGGAGGGCACTCATCGGTAAAGCTGCCACCACTGCTGACGAACCCAGGTGCATGGGCGATGCATGGCATGCATGCTAAGGTAAAGAGGATGACTTACACGTCGAGTTTCGGGGAAAGCTCGGAGATATTTCCTTGGGAGCACAGATGCATAGTCGCTTTGCTTGCCACCTTAATCCAAGAAGCGTACTGCAAGCACGAAACATATGGCTGGGTAGCTTAGCGGAAGCTCAAAAGGCCAGAAACTCGAAAACCGGGTCTTTGAGGCTCGAAGTATCGCCTGACTTCACTTCCTCAAGGCGAGGTTTTTGCGGTTTCGTTTGGAAAAAGATATGATAGTTCTTTGAACGCATTGGAAGTTGCGTGGCGCGCTCCCAATGCCATCGACTGTTGTGCTTGATGAGCGAAGCTAGTCTTACAAAAGGTGCTTAAGCGATCACATCACACGGGGCAAAATTGACTAGATACTGACACGCAGCTGAGGTTTCCTCTCTAGCTGGAAATGGCCCATCCAGTTCTGGGTCCGTTCCTACGAAGGTTGCTTGGGGAGAGCTACCAAACACCGCCGATCGTGTCGCGCTTGCCTGTAGGGTACTGTTCCAATTCTCGATTCGTTCCTCGAAGGGCCCCTTGAATGTGCTGAAGGTCATGGCTTGCGTCATGGTGATATGTTCGTCGAGGAGCGACATGTAGTCATCGACGCCCTTCAGGATGCTCGTTCCTGTAAGGGTAGACAAGTAGAAATCCCAAGCGTTCATACCGCAAAATCTCATATTTAAGTGTTTTTTTATGCTTACCAGAATTAGTGTAACATACGTCTAGGGTACCTGTCCTACCTTGCATGACGTTGATTTTGACAGCGCTGATCCCCATCATCACGCATGCGTGACGACGTGTCGCGTAAGCAATTGACGCGTTCGACGTGATTGAAGCCAAGGTCATTCTACCAAAGAGTCACAATGGGTTATCAGTTGACATGCTTTGGGATGGTGGCTTGGAATATGAGACGCAACCATCATTCCAACCCTCGATTGGGCCGACGGGTACCTGTTTCTCGGTATTCTTCCGTGTTGAGCTTCACCGTCGCCCAGGCCCCCTGCATCTTGTCCAGAGCCGACTCGATCGCAAACTCCTTGCTCGCTGTCTCGCTGACTTTTGTGATTACCTCGGCGTTCTTGTGCAGCTCTTGTTCGATTACCCTTTCGAATTAATCGTACCAGCATGACGGGGCGCAGAGTCAAGACAAGAACTGGTCGAACAACAATCTCAGATCGCTCCCGCGCGCACGAGGGTCTCGGTCTTGTTTGGCTACGTGGGATGATATCACGACGCACTCGGTGCAAACGGCGATTCATGCTGATGCTCAAAGATCATCCATAGGCCGACGTGAGCGCCTGGTTGTTAGCGTGCTCTCTCTCATGGGTTTATCTTTCCCTTTTGCAACTTCCAGCATTTCCTAGCCCTTTTCTCAGAGCTGTTGCCAACTTTTTCACACCCGACATGCGTGTTACTCGAGGATATATTTGTTCTTCCGGGAAAAATGGGCTATATGTCGAGAATCGGAAGGCTGAGGGTTGGCAACTTCCACCGGGAAGCTCTGCATAGCAACAACAAGGGGTGCTACGTGACTCAGTAAGGCTCACATGGTGAGAGTGTAGCCGTCATCCGGGTGCAAGTCTACCCCGAGCTTCTCGCTGAGTAGGTCCCAGTGGCGGTCTCTCATCCCCGCGGTTCGCAACCCGGAAATCACGGGCAAAAGGGGCAGGAATTCGTCCACCTGGAATGTTTCCCATGGGTCAAAGCTGTGAGAGATCCCAGTCTAAACAGGACAGGAGGTGAAAATAAACTGCGCCCACCTCGATGAGCAGCCAAGAGGCGGTCAGATGACACAGTGCAAGTCATCCAAGCTCAAGACATTTGATGTGGAATAGAGCAGCGGCAGTATAGCACAACATGTGATACATGTTTGGAGAATGCATGGGCATCTGCTTTCTTGCGCATGTGGTCTACATACGAACCTGTTCTCTGACAGAGTGGGCAATCTTGGAACAACCTTCCAGACCATTCGCCTCGAAGAAGCGGCCTGCCTTGATGAGCGCTTTGGAGACCACGGTTACGTTCTTCTCCACCTGCGTTCAACAAAGCAATTCTGCTTGTGTGACACAGTACATGAAATGATACAAACCTTCCATCCGTCCAGTATCAATCAACCACGATCAAGGCACACAATCCAACCACTGTTTCCGCCAATATGTTGATCGGGAATATTTTTTCAGTACCTCTTCGGCGTCAAGCGACAGAAAAGAATCGTTCATCCAGCCCTTATGCCAGTTCATCCAGTCGTCCACTCTCTTCCACAGGTCGCAGTACGGCTCGAAGGACTTTTGCACGTCCGCAAGGAGGTCATACTCTGTTGTTTCCTTGGCAAACAGCCTGAAACCAGTGTAAGAACAATAGTGGATGGCATTGGCGGGGATGGAAACAAATCATTGGTTTGTGCATGAAATGCAGTGATTTCGATCTCTTGCGGAAAAAAGCGCGATAGGACGTGTCAATCCACTTTTGAATGCAATCAAGGGCATACATTGAAGATATCATCTTTCGGGCAAAACGAATGAATTGGCGTTCACCCATGTGCGCGACACGAGACCATCAACCTAATGCATCGAGTTCACGGGAAAGACACTCCTTCAAGAACACCCGCACATTCAAATACGATTTTTCTCCAATACCTTGTGTAACGGCATAACATGTGTGATGGCGACTCACTGCTCCCTGGAGTTGAAGAGGATGGCCTGGTCGGAGCACTCTTCAATGTCCTTCTCCATCCTGCGCACCATAGAGCTCACTTGCTCCACCTTCGAAAGGTCTGTAAAGTGAGACATCTTGTTCACCTGATCACCATCAATATTCATACGTGTACAACAGCATGTTGTTGGCAAGGTTTGCATTCGTGAAGCAGGACATATTTGTGCCACATGTCGAGTCAATGTTGTCATTATTGTCACATTTGGGCCTACGCAGTTGGGTATTTTCTCTCAACCACCTGAAGGCCTTTGCGAATGATAAAGGTTGGCTACGAGGCGGAGACCCGGTGCACATGTCACGTCAGTCACAAATTTGAGCCCATGCGTTCGGGGATCTGGTGGTTTCTTACGCTTTAACGGCGAAAAGTCCACAGAAGGCCAATAACTGAGGCAAGCATGCACAGTAGGATCAGCGTTCCCGCGACGTTTGACACAATTGGCTACGGAGGTCCTGTACTTCCACGAGTGTTCGACATAGGGCACTTCCTGCTATTCGCCTGGTTCCCTAGTTTGTTGAATACTCCGTTGAATATGGATGTGAACACCAAGACGGCCAACGGTATCGCTGGTTGTTCTCTACAAAGTACTTGGAAGGGAAAAGGTGCATTGATCCCCGCAACCGTGATCTGTAAGAGCATACTCTTGAACGAAATGAAGGTCATGTGTACCTGAACACCTCGGGAAACAATCGAGATGTTATATCCCGTTGCATGCGGACCTGCTTTCATGGTTGTAAAAATCGCAATCGCACCTGGTCCTGCAAGCTCTTGAGGCGCTCTACGTACTCTGTCTGCTCCTCTTCCATTGCGTGCTGGTAGCTTAATTTCAGCTGGGCGTTGGCCACTTCACGCAGCTGGATCTTAGCGGCGATCTGCACAAGACAACAACGGTCCAGATCACAACCATGGCAACGATAGAGCGATGTGGGACAGATAATAATATACCTTCGCTTGTCGATACTCAGAAAACCGAAAGGAATTCAACGACAACAGCAACTGAAGCGTTCAAGATGCTGAGTCAGAATTTGAAGGTCAACCCTTTCCCACCGTGGGGAAACGGCCTCGTGATGGTGATATCATTGCACACCCCCCTTTGGAAGCGTTGTGGGTTCTTGCTTGGTCAAGAGAAAATACAATTCAATATATAGAGTTGGAAGCGATAGTATTACTGACAATGCTACCGCGTGTCGAGTGACGTCCCAAAAACACAATTATCGGTTATTTCGCTGTTTCTTGGTATAGGTACAACCAAATAGATACGTCTATATCACTTTTTTTGTTCATTCTACAACTTCATATGGCATCCTCTCGGATGGAGCCTGGAAGTCTCAAGCGATTGGGTCCGAGATAGCCTAAGGCCAACGCAATTCCATCGGTGAACTTTGAATGTCATGTCCAGACGAAAGCCGCAAATACCTTTTGGGGCCATCCAAAGACCTCCCACTTCATGGACATGGTGGTATCGTCCAGCGGAGTCTTTGCAGTTCCGATCACGTCAAAGGCACCCATCGTCGTGTCGATGCTGCCCTGAAGCTCCGACACCCTGTTGGAACAAACATCGCAACGAAACGGTCAGAACATAGCGTAGGGGGCCTAGATTCCCATGCGTGGAGGTTGATATCTCTTCTGAAGGCTGTGTCAACACACATGGGCTCGACCGGCGGAAGCGACAACACTGCTACCTAGGCAATTGGTCGGTAGAGTACTCACATATTCGCCGTGCTGGCCATGTACTCCTGCATCTCTGTCAGCTGCTCGATGTTCTCGATCGGAGCATGAAGTCGACGATAAATAGTTTCGAAGCTCCTTATGGTGGTCTGTTGAAGCCGGAGCAGACAACGTTTGGTACCAAGTTGGCAAAAACAAAGTGTTGATGATGGCATCATTAAGGCCCTTGAAATACCCCACATGATCTGAGAGTCGAAGCCATTAGTACATCCAGAAAGTAAACCGCGAATTCAAATCAAGCGAAGAAGAGCAACAACCTCAAGGAACGGGATTGTTGCTTTGTGTTATGGTATACCTGTATCGTAATGGTAAGTACGATGTGTTCCTCGTGCGGCATATTTTGTTACCTGTGCCTGGTCTTTAACGCTCTTGGTGAGCATCAAGGTCAGTCTCTCGGCGATATCTTGGTGCTTGGATGACAGCCGCTGGCGGATCTTGCTCATGCTCACCTATAAACATGGTGCCACACGTAAAGTTATGCTGTGCCGGAGGTATGAGAGAACAACAAACTCCTGGAAAAAATATGCTGAATTGCGACACGCCGAACAGTAATCCGCGAGGCAGGTAGGCATAACCTTGATCTAGCTAGTTGATTCAAGGCAACATGCAACGCGGGCGGGCCCACATAGAATAGACCCCAATAGTCCCCTAAAAGAACACCATCCACAATCAGCAGCAACAAATACCGACAAAGAAATTACCACAAACAGCCCCAAGGAGATGTTCTCAGGGATGAGCTTCTCGAACTCAATCTTCTGTTGCGCATGGTTTGCGGCCAGCTGACGCAGATCATCGAACAGAAACTCGCCCGTCTCGGCCTTGGTCATGGCCGCTTCCGTCTCACATAGATACTCGTTTACTTTTTTTCCGAGGGAAGGTGGGTGACAGGCGACAATTCGTGGGGGATTGAGGGTTGGTACATTGAGAAGCGTGTTATTTTGCTCTCCGCCCAAGCAAACGTCGGAAGCATAGCGAACACCGCCGAAGAATGGCACACGAACAACAACGAAATGTTGGCGAACACGCAAGCGATGACATGGCCGATTTTGTTGGTTTGCCGTTGAGTGAGAGTCAAGGATCGATCTGCTATCGACCGATAATCGGACAATGCACTGATTTCCGTGGTCATGTTGGAAATCGCTTCAACGACTTTAATATTCTTCTCATGTTGAATATTGTGACGAATCACAGAAGAAAACGTAACGACTCTTGTTTTGACACCAGCGGGGCAGCTCTAGGTTGCTAGAAAGAGAAAAATATTGGTTTTGGCCACACATCACCCTAAATCACTTTAAGCAATGCAAAAACACCATTTATCACAAGTCCAAGACAGGAGTCAGAGTCACCATCGGCTTTCGCAAATCCCCATAAATATTGCGGATAATGATGTTTCTCTTCTCCCAGTAAAGACCCAACAAAAGTGGATGATCATCTGGTGAAACAAAAATACACCTTCAAACGTACCGTCGACGTTCAAGAACTCCACAAAAGGCTCCAAGGTCTCCAGATATTCCGTGGCCGGTTTGACAGCCCTATCCAAAGCCACCCCCACGGTTTCCCTGAGGTGCTGCACCCAGTCCTCTGACGAGTAGACACTAGACATGACGGGGTCATGAGACCAGAACAGTTTCTTCATCACGCGCCGCTCCACACGAACCATGTTCTGAGTGGTGGGTGATACAGCGACAGGAGCATGCGCATGATAGAGGTTTGACAGTTGTACCTTGGGCGAAGGTTGTGACAAATACTAAGCTCGCTCTGGAAATTGGTTGAGCGGATGGACGCATAACGTCAACCAAGATCTGACCAAAATCGTCGACACCAATAGTAAGTGTTTTTCGAGAGGACCTCGATACGCCCAGCGGACTGGATCGAGGTATGCCGCTGTACCAGAAATCCTCCAACGGTTGGGAGAGAACATGTTCCTATTGGTTATCATGTGTGACGCTGTTCGCCTGCTGCCCGCGTGTTACCTGTGGTAAAAGACAAAGGTACTTGACAGCTTCCACCACCACCACCAATGTTACACCCGCTCATTCACGACACCTCCACCACCGATGCTGCCACCACATAAAAAGTCACCTGCGTTGATGCAATCGCCTTGTCAATGAGCGCAAGCGCTGCCTCCTTCACCGCCGGCAGCCGTTGAGAGTACGCAAATACCTCTCTCCCCTTATCCCCGACCACCGCAATCTCCACCACGAACAGCGGCGCTCGCAGCGCACGCAGCGTGTCCCCCTTCCATACCGTCCTCCCTTCGCTCCAGACTTGCGGAATTGCGACAGCTTCGTCGCGGATATTCATCGCAGGAGGAGCTGCCTCTGTTCCGACCCATGCCTCGCTTTCTCCCCCCCTATCCCCCTCTTCTCCGCGTTGAGAACCGTCGTCGTTGCTGTCGCTACCTGAGCTAGACCCACCGCGCGGAGCCGGAGAAGGCTCAAGCAGTAGGCCTGGACCAGGAGAGCTTGTCTTTGTTTGGTCTTCATGTGAAGGTCTGTCAGGCAGGATCGGTATCTTGAGGACGACCTTGTTGGAGGATACGATTCTCGCGTCGTGGAGACAGGCGCGTAGCAGGAATCTGCACGCGATAGGAGACGAGGGCAATCGAGAGCAAGGGAAGCAGGAGAGCTCGCTTAGAACTGTTGTTATCAATGCGCCTCCAAGAATTCCGCATATCGTAGATAAGCGGGGGGAGCGGGGTTGTAGTAACGCATTTGGCCGGCCGTTCTCGTCAATGGGAGGCAAATGTGAAGCATGCTCAGTGTCTCGATGGGGGTCAACAACGACAGTAAGCAACCTTGAATTTTGAGAGTTGGAAGAAGACCGGTTAGCTGCAATGACGATGCACCCCTTACCATGGCACTTCGTTGCTGGTCTGGAGATTTCAGGAAGTGGTAAGCACCCTATTGACAGCGCTCCGCTGACGAGTGTATCCTTCGAACGGCGACACGACTCTACTAATCCACAAGGCACTTCCTGTGAACAAATAAGGCTATCTTGCTACCTCCACCATTCACCATACCTGACGAACTCATCCAAGCTGGCCTGGACGAGGAATCTGAGAGTGTCCTGGGTCATGAAGTTCACGTACGCCAGGAATCGCCGAAGCTTGCTGAACCCATACACCTCGTTGGAAGTCTGTACGAGCCAGGCGGAGGAGATAACGAAGAGAGGTCATCATGGAATCAACTCCAGAAACTCTAACCCAGCATGTGGTGGAACGAGTATGGAGTAGGTGTTGAGTGGCGCTCTTGCAATATGGTGCGTGCTGCAGAACCGCCTAAACCTCCGTATTGCTATGCTGACCGTAGCCATAACCCGGACCATTCTCCGCCGTTTCATGTTGCTGTGGGTGCTCACGATAAAAAACGTGCAGTGGCCCACATAATTTCTACGTAGATCTTGTCGTCGGCTCAGATTACGTCCTATCACACCCCCACCAACACACTGAACCAAATGACCTCATCTAGGTTGAACCAGCCCTTTTTTACGTCCTTCAAGTGGTGACGGATGAAGCTGACGATGTTGATCACCCATTGCTCCTTCAGGTCTAGGCTCGTCGTTTGCGTGGCCTGCACGCAGCGTATCAAGTAAGTAAAGTATTGAAGACATAAACGGCAAGATTGTACCCCTGTGGACGGGGTTCAGCTTGAAGCGTTTGGGCAGGTCGCTGTGACATATGCAGAAAAAAAGAGCACCGAGCACTGTAAATCCTCGATTCTGTCTTAAATAACTGGTTACCTAGGGGTGTGGGCGAGGCTAGGCTAAAGAAGTGCATAAATGTAGATTCCCGACGTTGCGGCCTTCAATTGCGGAGCCTCGCCTGGGCTCCCTTCATGGGGACGGCCTTGAGACAGAAGTTGAAGTATGGAAAGGTGTATATTCGCCTCCATCCTGATCGATACAGCCTTCCAATAAAAGTCGGCATGTCATTCCCCCTCCCTGAACGCATGCTTAGCTACCTGCTTTGCTCTATCACCTGATTTTGGAGTGACACGAAGTCTTCCAAGTGGACCGACTTTGGAACCATGTGGAAGAGGCTCAGATCCAACACCCGCCGACACTCAGATCGAATCTGGACAGTACCCAGGTGCAACCGCGACGAACGTGCAAGCGTGACGACGAACTTGTGAACGTTTTTTGACATGCACTATGTTATATAGTATTTGGAATCTGTTGCTGCCAGAAGGGTAGGTTGTAATCGTTTTCCCCTCCAAAACCTGGCATATGGTAGAACTGACAAGATTGATGAATAATTTACAGAAGATGGCATCAGTTGCAAAGATGGCATTGGTTGCAACAGGGAGACAGTCTTCAGTTTTTGCAGTGACAGGGTCAAGCTAGGTCGGAGTAGTTCAGCGCGCCGACACGTAAACTGCGTTTCATGTCTATTCGCAGGCCAATAACAATGCGTCGGTACATGTACAAATACAACAAATCCCTGCCCCCCATACCTGCACAATGATCTTGATTATCTCCGGCTTGGTGAGAAACGAGCTAAAGCAAAACTCTCGGGACCGTTCCTGGAAATCCTCGAACCCGATGTACACGGTTCCCTGCATTGGATAAACGCGATGTCGTTTGCAGTTTCACTTTTCTCAACATATCCCCTTCAGGCACTCAGGTGGTCCATTAATCTCAAAACTGGTTTTCACAGCCAACAATGAGCTCGAGTTAAGTATGACTTCATCCCTAGCCGTCCTCATTCCATGCGAAAGTGATCTTCTTTCTATTTGCCTGGGAGAGACGACCCTTTTGTACCTAAACAACTTTAACCTACTGGCCTCGATTTTAAGTTCTTGATAAGGGCAAGTAAGTAAATGTTTGCGAGAACGATTCGGCCGTGGGCTTCGCGTGAGTGTTCGCTTCACCTGCTTGAGGTTCTGCATAGATATTTCGTCCTTGATGGTGAGGGCAGTCGACTGTAAAAGCAATTGATTCTGACTCTCAAGGTTTCAACGCTGGGATAGGTGCATAATAGTTCGCCTGTTCCGGGACGAACATCTTGGATACATATAGTTTCTACACTGGGCCTCAGCTTAATCCTGCAACTCTCTAGGCAAGGGGCCTTTCAAAGTACCTCCGAAGACAACTGTCTCCAAAACGCCGACCAGGTCTCATCTTCAGGTACCCAATGTGATACGCTGCCACGACCTTGTGGCTTGTTTTCAACAACACCTTGTCGGGAGGAGGCTTTTCCTCGCGATATACCCCCCTTGGGATGCGGATACTACGCAGCATTTCCGTCCCAGGCTGCTTCAATCCGTGAGACTTTTGGGCCTGAGCGTCCCATGCATCGCGCAAATCAAACAGTTTGCAGTGCGCCGAGCCACGTTGAGGAAGGTTCGTTGAGCAACGTGAGAAAAGTGTGCATCGGAGAGCAACCGTTTATCGATTGAAAAACTCTTAGGAATTGTACTTCCTCGGCTAGGCGTAGTCCGTCTCTGACTTCCTCTTGCAACCGAATACAGTTGAAATGTTGGAGAATGCTCAAACCACCCCGACCATCGGAATGTCATTTTGGGTCAACATGTGGACACTCGCCTTTATCAAGTGGTTCCCCGCTTCATGCCTTTACCCTGCGCTGGGCAGTGGAACCTACACTCTAGCCGTCTACGCTATCGTCGTTTTCCACCCACCTCCTTCGTTTGAGTCCCCAAAACAATCTTGTTCATGGTGCGAAGGTAGTCAACGTTGACCTCCTCCATCAGTCCGGGCATGTCACCTGCGCTACCTTCCGCCGAACAAGCCCTTGAACATAGAGCCGTAATGCGACTTATCTCCTCGCCCTCAAGCTGTGTGGCGGATTGAGCGTGCCATCCACACA